AGAGAGAGAGAGAGAGAGAGAGAGAGAGAGAGAGAGACTAAAAAGCAGCCTCGCTTGCTCGGACGCTGCCGTCCCCGCCGTCGCTCGGGCCCAGAATTTCTGTTTGCGCCCAACGACTGACGATTCGTCGACGACTGACGAGGGACGACCTTTTGCTGGGAGGCCAACGCAGCCCGCCCTGTGACTCCTGGCCCATCAGGCACCCAGACCATGCCCCATCCCAAGCCCGCGCAGGTGGCAGACTACGACAGCGACGAGGGTCGCATCGTCTCAGGAACCGAAGTCTCCGCCCATACTAGCAGGAGTAGTAAGCATAGACCGTCGTCGTCGTCCAAGCCGCCGAAACAAGGGGGAGGAGGAGCAGCAGCAGTAGCAGCAGGAGCAGGACCAGCAGCAGGAGGAGCAGGAGGAGGAGGAGGAGGAGGAGAACGAGCGAGTCGGAGTGCGACGCCGCACGTCCCAGCAAGTGACTCAGGTTACTCTTCGACTCCGGCGGCAGACACAAAGCCTGCTACCTCCACTGCTACTGCTACTGCTACTGCTGCCGCCGCCGCCGCCAATTCCCCCGCAAAGCCCGCGCAAAGCACTTCGTCACCGGCTGTAGCCCCGAGTCCCGTCAAGTCTAAACCCATCATTCATCGCCAGGACAGTGCACGGAGCACCACCAGGGCCGCCACCATATCGAACACTACTGCAAAGCGAAAGGACCATTGTACGGACCCCAACTGTCGCGACCCCAACTGCGACAGCACTCGCAATCTCGAGCGCCGCTACACCAACCCCAACCGCGAACATCGCAACTCCATGTCGGCCGCACTGCCGCCCGCGCAGGCTCAATACCACTACTACCCACAACAACAACAACAGCAGCAGCAGCACGACTATGCAGCCATGCCGCCTCCCTCTGCGATGCCTTTGGCGCGAAGGGAATCCATGGTCCATCCTCGACCTCACAGCCTTCATATGCCACACGTTTCCGCGGGCCTGCCACTCTCCTATCCTGTAGTCCATCCGGGTGCTACTCCTGGTTATGGCTATGGGCACCCACAAGCCTCGTATGCTCCACAGCAACCAGTGGTATACGGGACCGCCCCGCCGACCCAGCAAGCTGTCTACCCACCACCTCCATCTCCCGTCAAAGCGGCCGTTCCATCTTCACCTCTGACGGGCACGTATCCGGGCTATCCTGGACAGCTGGGAAAGATCTCTGCGCGCACAGGCAATCCGGCTGTGCCTGGACTGGTGACCTCGATTCCCATGCAGCCTCCCGCCCCCGCCTACAACGTGTCTGCTGGCGGCGGCATGTCTGCGCGTGCGGATCGTCGCACTAAGAATCATGCTGCCGAGCAACGGCGCCTTCGTGATGACGAGAATACATCGTCCGAGTCGGAGAGCTCCGGTGACGAACGCAACCAAGATGCGCGTTACGACTATCATCGCGACGAACAAGACCGTCGACGGGAGCCGAAGCGCATCGAATATGAACGCCAGCGCTCCAAGTCGCGACGTCGTCGATCCGTCGTGATTGAAGATCCTCGTCCTGTTGCGAAGAAGTCATACACCACATCCGTCGTCCCTACCCGGCAATCGAGTCGCCGGGACTCCATTTCGCGACCGGACTTGAACCATCGCACGACGTCCGATCCCTTGGTCGAATACGTATCGTCGCCGGACACCTATGAGTCTAGTCACCCGTCGAAGGCCGTGCTCGATCGTCGCGAGCGCGATCGCAGAGATGCCGCCTCCGCCAAACGGCACAGCCGCCGCATGTCGGTGTCGACCACCGCGGACTCGTACGACACGCCGCCCACCTCCATCTCCAACGGTTCGGGCTACGTGGAGGCCATCATCGAAGACAGGGGTGGCAGTCGGAGAGTATATCTCTCGCGAGAGCAATACGCAGAACTGACGCGAAGGTACGAGAGAGAAGATCGCGAGGCAGAACGCGACCGACTGGAAGCGCAGCGCATGCATCTCGAACGCATCGAGAGGTACCAAAAGGAGCAGGCCGCAGGCGTGGAGCGACAGAATCTGACCGCCACGAATATCAAGGAAGCCGCTCGGACCACCACCAAGTCGCATGTCTCCAGCCGCAGTCAAAAGACCACCACTTCGGGCTCCAGGCTATCTCGTGGCGGACTGACTCTCGAGAGAAACGGCACCATGTTGTACCTCGAAGAAGGCATTCCGGAAATCTCTCTCAAACTCGATGATGATGGTCACACTCGAGTGGTCATTGGATCCGGCACCAATGGACGCGAGCAGTCATACCACGGCAGCAAATCGAGCGGAAGCCGTGTTGGCCGGCCGAGAACTTCTCGTCAGCATTCGATTCGCGAGGAGGAGCAATACGAGAGGGGCCTGTAAATCTACCCTCCAGTCCTCTCTCTGTCTCTGTCACACACACACACACACACACACCAAGCCATCATCCTCGCGGGATGATGGCGCACCATCCGCATGTCTGCTCCACCATGAGCGAGGGTCACTGCGCACGATTTTCACACTGCATCTGTTTCCCATCGACTTTCCAGCGATCTAGCGATTGACGTAATTTTGAGCGACATAGCGACATGTTTCAATTTGGGATTAGCCATGGCGCACCGAGAAGCGCATCCTCCAGTTTTTCTTTCACACCTTGCTCAGACGCTTGTTCGGGACTGGACGGGACTGAACCGAAATCGCATCGCACACTGGGTGGCTCATATGATTGCTTACTGGCACCTTGACATCTGCTTCCTCTTCGACGACCGAGCGACTGACCGACCGCTGGGCGGGCCGGCAGCCAGGCAGGCAGAAAAAAAGTCTATTTTTCAAAAGTACAATATGATTCTAACAAGGGGCAAGGCCAGTATGTTATTCGTTTCATCGAGCACTTTTTTCTCTCCCTCTCCCCTCTTGGGGACCTGCAGGGATGGAATGAATGGAAGAAAAGGGAGAGGAGCATCTTGAAGAGGAGGAAGTAGAGGAAGTGGAAGGGGAAGAAGGGGAAGAAACAGCAGGGTGGATGGGTTGATGAGCATGATGGATAACGACTCTCTTATGTCGTTTTTTTGTGTTTTGCTTTCATGTTAGCGATACCCCCTTTGTCTTCTTCGTCGTCATCATCATTGCACTGATTGGGTTTTGTTGGTTTGCGAGCGTGGAGCGTTCTTGTTTGGCATGAATGGATGGAATGGAGGAAATGGATGAACTGGGACGGGGAAAGGGGTGAAGGAACGAATGGTCCCGCTGATGCTTTTAGCCATGCGAGCGAGCAACAATGCAAGCATCGTGGGCGAATATTGCATTGCGTAGCAATGCCTTTTGGAAGTAAAAAAGGGGGGAAAAAGGGGGAACCAAAGGGCATACGTGTGTCTGCTGTTGCTACGACAAGGAAAGTAATAATGGCTACAGATGCGGAACTTCGCGACTGTACGATGGGATGGGATGGAAAGGGAATGGGGAATGGAATGAAATGAAGCATGAGTTGGCGACTCTGGGAAGTCGATGATAGGTAGCAAGTAGGATAGCTAGACAGACCAGACAAGACAAGACGACGATACTACCCCATATATACTACGTCGAAGGGACTATACTGATCTGTAATCTGTAGCGATGACCGCGAGACCTTGATTGTTGATCCTCCTCGGCTTTTGGTATAATAGCCGCTGTTGTAGCAATCACTATAACCTGCCCAAGGTAGCGAACCCTATCCTCTCCTCTCCCCTCCTCTCCCCTCCTATCCATGTAAAAAAAAAAAAAAAAAAACAAAAGAAAAGAAAAGAGAAAGTCGAAAAAGTCGAACCGACCTTCCAATGTAATGAGTACTGTAATACTATATGATATAATGCAAAGCTGCCCAACCCTCTCGTCACTCGTCACTGGTGTAGTGGATCGATGAAGACCTGAGGTAATGTGCTGGATAGTCTGTCTCTCTCTCTCCCTCTCTCCCTCTCTCTTTCTCATATGGGGAGTGTGTGTGTTTGGTGGCATCACATCAACATTTCGCGCATACCTATTCTGTCTACTAGACTACTACTACTGTACTGTACTGTACTGTACCGTCATAAAACACACATATCATCAGACTGACGACCCGAGTCCTTGCGGCGCCCTTACTACTCCTCCACCGGTGAGGTACTAAAAACATAAACAAACAGCATGACTCATCCTTAACAGTGGTGACATCGGTCCCTCCTTCGATTGCTTCGCCCTCTCGCATCTACCGAGCATGGTGGGAGGGGTATGATGCCTGCGATTTCCGGCCCATTTCTTATCATTCTGATCCCTCTTGCATCACTCATTACTCCAGATCGCTATCTTGCCCTCCACGTCGATAACCACCCTTCCTCGTCTCCGTCTTCTTCCTTGGCGAGGACGACTTCTTTCTCGGCGACGAGGAGCTCTGTCGCGTCCGGCTCCTCTCCCTCGTGCGTTGTGTGCCTCCATACTCGGATGAGTATCTCGGATTCTCCGTCGCACGCGGACGGTACTCATCGTAGTAGCTCGCAGTTCTCGTGCCTCGGGAGTGGGACTCTGAAGCAGTATATGCGGTGCTCAGGGTTTCTGACTCCGGTCCCGTACCGTAAGAGAAGTCTCGCTTTCTGGGACTAGCAGAACGGGAAGCGGATCTCTCACGGGCATGGTGGCGTGACGAGGGGGCGCGCTTGGACGGCGACGCAGACTTGCGAACATGGGCGGGTGGTGGGACAGGAGCTGCTTCGCGGTTCAGTGCTGCCGCGGCCTCTTCGGCCTCGCGCTTCCAGCGGCGTTCCATCTTGGCTGCTTCATGGCGTGCTCGACGCTCGGCGCGTGCCTTCTCTTTGTCTTGCGCGGACTTGGGGATCATCGGCTGGTCGGACGATTCGGTGAGGACCGTCTCGGTCATGATGTCGGATCGATCGGTTTCAGTGTAGGCGGTGCTGTCTGCCACTCGGTTCATGCCACCCACACGAGCTGGCTTCTCTTGCTTGTATTGATGGACATCGCGATCACGATAGCGTTTGGAATGGTGTCCGCTGCCTCCATCGTACTCGGTCAGCACTTCCGTCATCCCATCCGAGATCGTCTGCGAGCCCAGGGAATCGGTGAAGTCGTCCTTGTAGGTGACAGAGTGGGTGCCCGCAAAACCTCGCTTGGCCAGAATGCCCTTTCTGCCCTTCTCGTCTCTGCTGACGACGGATCGTGCCTGTTGCTTAGCCCAAGCGTAGTGTTGCGTGCCTGCAATAGATCTGCCACCGCCCAGCTTCGTACTCTTGGTGGCATTACTAAGCGTCTTGCCATCCGGGCCTTTGCGTCGTAGTACCGTCGATTTGTAGTCGTCCCAATCACCCTCCTCGAACTGGAAGCCACCGTTCTTGGCCCAAAAGAAGAACCAGATGGCAGCACACACCATGGCAGCGCCGAGGATGGCGAATAGTGCGAAGAAGCCCCCGTTGTTGAAGGACTCGGGAGGCTTGGAGCCCACGCCGTGCACGATCTTGTCGGCACGCTTGACCAAGCTGTGCTCATGTTGGGCGAGCGACGGTGGTGGGAGAGGGGAGGAGGCGGAGGAGGCATCGCGCTTGCGGAGGAGGTCGAGCTCGTTGGACGAGAGCAGCAGATCGGGGACGGGCTCGTTGCTCTGGAGAGTGCGAGCGATGGTCAAGAAGCCGGGGGCGGGCGAGACGGGCGCCATGTTGATGAGCTGTAGGCCGAAGCCTCAGCGGTGCGTGCAGTATATCGAGCAGTCGGTCGCAGTCGAGTCGCTCGTTGGGTGCGTGTCGGGTGTTCGGCGTGTGTAGTGAGTGATTGTGAGGACAGAAGCCTTTTTCGAAGACGGTAGGCAAATTGGATGGGAAGCGTCAGGAAGGAGGATGTGTGTACAGTACAAGACGGCGATGCCAGTCCAGTTTGACATTTCTCGACGTTCCTGCCACCTCCCAGCCATCTCCAGACACACGCTCACGCTCTGTTTACGAATGACGTCAGCTGCAGTCTCACACAGCAACCGCACATTGGACCCTGAATATTGCTTGGCGTCGCGTCTATGTTCACTATCACTTCTGTCTATCTACATATCTCGCGTCGGTTCTTGCATTGCTTCGCGTCTGTCTGCGAGAAGGAAATACTGTCGATGTTCTTCTACCGTGCTGTAGCCCGTCGCCATGTCTGTAGGAGATGAGCTCCAGGCTCCTCTCCGCGCTTGGAAAGGGGGACTATTCATACTCTTGGCCATTATGGACCGAGTACAGGGGATCCAGTATCTGCCAGCTCCACTCTGCAATGCCATCCACTTGTCGAACGTCTCGAAACCACTCGAGCATCAACGCCACAGTCTTGTGAATGTCATCGCGATCGACATGCTCTTCGCAAATCTGCCTCAGACATTCGTTCTCCGTCGTCATGCGCAAAATGAGCAGGATGCCCAGAAAGTTCTGCGTCCAGGCGTAGAGATGGGGAACGAGTCGCTTCTTGTTCTTGGGCGGAGCCAATGCAATGGGCCAGAGGAGTGCAGCTTTGATGGCAACCCCACAACAGTACTCATCCTCTGCGTCCATCAATTCCGGGAAATGGAGTGCTTTGTAGACGAATGGCCGATACATCATAAATCGTGCATAGTAGAATCGGGTGCGCAGTTGAGCAGTGACCAGGTCGAGGTTATATTTGTGACCAATGGGTACAGGCCCTTGATCAGGGCTGAATAAGGGCTCGTTCGGTCTGCGGCTGCCCACGTCAATGTTGGGAAACTCCAATTTTTCATTGTCCTGCCATTGGAGTGGGCGTGGCAACAACGAACGCCACGACTCGAGCTGACGGGACATTTCTCGGATGACAGTGAGAGGCGGCCCACCATAGCCGTCGGAAGACTCGGGCTGCGTCGTGGATGCTAGGTAGAGGGTATGAGCGCATATCAAAACAGTAAAAAGTGAGTGTCTCGACGACTTACATTCATGGATGACTTCGTGGATGCGAGAGATGAGCCTCCGCAGGGCAATCATTGCCAGGAAGTGGTACTGAAAGTGTGAACGGTCCCGGTCTTCTGCCGTCTGTACACCGACAGCCTGTACCGGGAAGCCGGGAGTGTGCATGTCTTGGCCCTCGATGAAGTATGGCAGGGGCACGATATCCTCGAATGTCTGAATGCCACTCTGCGGTAGGTCGAGATCCAAGTGGAACAGATCCTCGCTCAGCACACAGGTCCAGTAGGCTCGTTTCAGGAGGTCACCATAGTGAGATTGCCAATCAATCGTCTGGCACTTGATGAGCACTTGACAGGCCATCGAGGCCGTCACTGTAGCCCGCCAGAAATCCAGGTGGTTGGCCGTAGCCTCGTGATAGGTCCCTTGGAGGAGCATAATCTGTACGTTCTCCAAGCTCATCTGTGTTGCAATGAAGCCCACTCTGCGGCGAGCTTCATTAAAGATCTCTAGCCCCGGTGGACGGTCCAGAGTGCCGCCTCGAAACCCGCTAGCAATGCCGTTCACAGCGCTGATGGGCTGCTCAAAGACACCCTCCGAGGCAACCTGCCCTAATGCGAGCACCACCAGTGCCAGTACACTCCCCACGTCCTCGGCAAACCCGTACTGTACGACGTGACTGAGAGTTTCGGACACGAACGTGTCTCTATTGAGCACGGGGGCCAGAATGTTGAATGTGTTAAAGTATGCGTCGCAATACTCGTGAATGCGTGTGCTCGTCAAAGCGTGGAAGCCGACGCGTGGAGGATGACTTTGTCCAGGACTATATCCCTGAATATAGTAGCTTTGCAGTCCCGGCTCAGTGGAAAGCAGGTCTCGATGGCTGCGCATTTCCTGCCGAATGAACCACGGGGTGCCCTCCTGGAGGACATGTTGCAAATCGGAGGCGGCGCTGATTCCCGAGTTGATGAGGTGGATATATATGCTCGGCCACAGGATGATCTTGTGCGGCACGGTTAAATGCTGATAGCCTTGCTGTAGCTCGGTGGGGAATCTGGGTGTTCCAGTACTGTGGCGAGACTTGTGGGCTCGAGAGGAACTGGATGTGCTGGTCGAAGCAGGATGACCGGGCGTAACTGTCGTCTCCGGGGTGCTCGTGCTGGAATGACTGCCCGTTACGAGGGCAAGGTTGTCGAATTTGTTTTCGAGTCGGGTCAGTGTGTCCAGAATATGTACCATCGTCTTGTCTTTTCTGTGTCCCACCACCATGTCAGAGAGCTGTCATGACATGTGCCGCCGGCGATGTGCGCCACACAAGAAGACTTCGGTTCATAGGATACATATCGGTGGTCAGTCTCGATGCACTTACTTGGTCGGCAGCGGCTCTCTGTAGGCACATTCCACGCCGAGCCTGCGGCATAGACCACCTGGATTCTGTGAGCCTCCCGGTCTGTCTCCCTCGGCTGACTCACTATTCATTCAGATCGTACATTTCGGGCGCTGCTCATCACATTTACTCTTTCTGGTCGTTGTTGTCAGCTATGTTTGTTGCCACAGATCATATTATCATCATTATCATCATCATCATTATCATAATTATCATATCATAAGAGACAGGAGAGGAGAACCTGCTACGACACGTCTGGCATGCCTGGGCAGCTATCGCCGCCCTCTCTCGTCGCTGGGCATTGTTTTCGGCGACATCATGTACTCCCGTGAACGCTGAAGCGGAAGCCATGTCGCAAGTCCGGGTGGAGGGATCCCCATGCAGGTGAGAGAGTACCCTGGTCCCAGAAGAGCGATTTGATTTAAGGTAGCGGCGCAATGATCAGGTAATCCCGTGAAATAATCTCGCTCATGCTCATGGCCTGAGTCCCCGAAAGTGAGTGAAGCGACAGTGCTGCGTGATGTCACCCTTTTTTCTCAGCAAAATCACCTCATGTACAGGTCAGGTACAGGTATTGTCGGGAGATGGATGCCGTCAGCTTCTCTTCTGTCGGTAGCCTGTGGTCTGTAGATGGGTAGGTAGGCCAGCCTGGTCCGACGAATGATAGAACAGGAAGCCAGGGCAAATTTCCTCAATTTCGCGGTGCTGTAGGGCGGAGAATACTCCGGAAGGAGGAAACAAACAGAGAGAGAGAGAGAGAAAGAAAGAGTTTGGACGGAGGTTGTCGTGCCCAAACAATTGCAGTTGCCAACAAAAAGCCAGAGAGAACACGATAACCGATCTATGCCAAGAGATGCCCACTACTGGCCCGCCCGCATTAGCGAGTTGCTCTTTCGCATCCTCCCGTCGCGTCCTCTCTCGCCGTCGACTTCACATCGTCTGCCTCACCTCATGTCAGGTACAGGTATATATACAAGTCCATACAGTCCCTGGCATACATCTCCTCCGCTCTCCCCGAGTCTCCACGATAGCGATTTCGATATACGTCTTGTCTCCTGCTGCTGCTATCTCTCCTCCTCTCCCCGAGTCCAGAAGTATACAATACCGGTACAACGTCTTGGGTCAGGTATCTACTCTGGTGCATAAGGTATCAGCAGCACATGACCATGTCTATAGCTGATGCAGCAATCAAGCCAAAAGGTTCAAACTCAGGTGAATGAATATCAGGAAGCTAGAATGGTGCTCATCGTTCTTGATTTGCGAGCTACGAAACTATGAAGGTCAGGTACGTGGTACCTTACAGTCTCCCATGGGAGGAGATATCCCCAACACTGTGAACATTCTTTTTTACATCTAAACATTTCAAAAAATGCCTTTTTTAAAAAGTAGTAAGACCATCATCCAAAAAAACTCCTCTCGAAAATGCTGAATTCGCAATCCAATCCAATCCAATCAATTCCTCGCTCCTCGGCAATCTAGTCCAGTCCAGTCCAGGAAAGAAATCAAGAACGAGAAGGATAGAGAGAGGGAGAGAGAGAGAGAGAGAGAGAGATAGACGGACAATCTAATTAAGGTCCGCCAAATCAATCTGGAACGTGGAGTCCTTCTCGCAAATAACCGCACCATTACCACCGGTACGGCATGGCGGGTCGTCGAAAAGGGAGTTGCCGCCAAAGCTCGACTCTGGGCCAACGTTCTGCCACAGGAAGAGCTGGTTGACCTGCTCGGTCGACTTGGGCTTGAAGTTCCAGCTAAAGACACTGTCCTTGCCGCACGGGTAAACAGTGTCGGCCACGAAGGCGGTAGGGGCGTCCGTGGGGGGGTCGTAGGCGACGCAGGAGGAGTTGAGGGTGCCGCCGTTGGTGGCGAGGATGCGGAAGGTGACGGAGCTGATGTCTACGCCGTTTTCCTTGCTGTAGGTGAAGTCTTCGATGGCGTAGCTGACTGGGTCGGTGCGGCGGCTGAGGGCTGGCATGGCCATGGCCGTAGAGGCCAAGAGAGAGGCGGCTGCGATGATGACCTTCATGTTGATGGTGGAGTCTTGTGGGTTGTGATGGTACGATCTGATGTTGTTGTTGTTGTAGTGATATTACTGTTGATTATATTGCTGGTAGTGGTGGAGGATGGAGTGGTTGATGCTGCTGCTGATGAGAAGTCTGAAGGGTGCCAGACGAGCGGTCTATAAGTAAGATTTCGAGGTCAGCATACTCAGCCATTCTGCTATACCGGATGACATAGCACCCCTGCTGGCAGACAGTAGTTTAGTGTTTTATTGACCCTCGGTGATCCCAGTGTATCGTGGTATGGTGATGGTCAGAGTCCGACAGAGTTCCCAGCATGTCATTGGTGCAGAGCGACGTGCCTCCTGGTAAAGCATGGCGAAATGAAGACTGTGGCCACTCGGAATGACGGTATGCGACAGCACTACTACTTTGGACCGATCGCATCCATTCCCATTGTTGCTATTGTTATGTTGTTGTTGTTGTTGTTGTTGTTTTCGCCGCCTCCTCCACAGTTGGTAGTGTCGATGCTATTCTAGTCTGCGGGTCGATCCACTAGGTATGGACGACTGCCACTGATGCCGTGCCGTACGATGATGATGTTACACGAATAGCAACATATTCCCCCAACGGGTTAGAAGCAGAGAGTGGCTTAGTCTACTTGCAGCACTAGTCACAGCTGTACTGGGATCAAGAATAGAAAACCCTAAGACGGAAAAAGAGAGGGCTACTCGGTCATCGGCTATACAATTACGCGATTCGTAGCAAGACCGCAACTCCACTCCTAGAATCAAGCATCAATTAGCAGCGAGTGCCAAGTTGTGACCGGTAAGAAAGAAAAAAAAGGGAACCCGTGCCCAAAAAGCAATAGAACGCTCAGACTCTCATGATCATCGACACTTTGACAGCTACCGGTACCTCGACCGAGTGGATTGATCATATGGTAGGTAAGGTAGTATCATATTATGGCCTCTCGTATCGCAAGGCCCGTCCCTGCACAATCACTACGACTAGGTATACCTACCTACCTACTGTACCGTCTACCGACCGACGGTCCGAAAGATACGGTAATAATAACTTTCTGACCTACGTACCGTCGGCGTGTAACGTGGAGTAGGTAGGTAGTGTTTTTCTACTGTATGCAGATCATCATCATTAGGTAGAACTTGACCCTTGACCCTGGATTTCTCGTCTCGTATTTGAAAATTGATATGGATATTCCCTCGAGCTGGACCATGCCACTTGTGCCACACAGTCATGATCATAATGCGACTGGTGACATGCTGACATGATGCTGTAACTTTTTGGGCAATAACTGCGACAGTAGTATTTTCCTCCTTGGGATGACGTTGACGGATTCAGATTGTGTTTGCATGTACCGTATGTAGGTAGGTAGGTACCTAGTAAGAAGGAGTCCAATCCGATTTCCCTATTTCTTCCTTGGTTCTTGTTCTGGGACTGACGGTGGTGTTGCTGCTATAAGCGTCCACGACACGACGTGACATCGCATAGAGAAGCATAGTTCCTATCAATGGTCACTCGAGCCTCTTGGTTGAACTGTAGATCGCCACCGACCTACATAATCTCATGTCAGGTACTCAGCTCAGGTCCCGTAGTGTACGTCCTACACATCACAAGCCATCACATTCAATGACATCACAAAGCCATGATCGAGGTATACATGTACGGCACGCAATCTGCCAATTCTCATCTCGCATCCTGTGTCTGTGCCTGTGTCTCCACTTCCCCCGTCGACGCCTGTTATCCAATCCAATACAATCTCAAAAGACCTGGGGAAGAACTACTAGGGGGTAGTGGTGGTGGTGGTGGTGGTGGGAGCGCGGTCAACTTCCCCCGATTGGCTGGAAACTCATCTCCCAGCATGGATGGGGCCCATGGGGGATGGGGAGATCGAATTGCTTGTTGAAAATCAGTTACATCACACATCATGTAGATAGCTGAAATTTGCGGAGAGAGATGCAGGTTCAGGTTGGGTGGTGACCGTGGTGATGAGATGAGATCGCCTTGGCATGGTATGACCGAATTTCTCATCTCGGCATTCTCGGGTAACTGCAGGTACAGCTACCCGACCTAGAGATCAGAAACTGCCTCATCATCACCAAGGATGTCTTATAGGTGGTGTCTGCTGTATGCTGAGGTGTGACTGATAGCCTGAGGTAGGTATACCGTATAGGTAATGTGACAGTAGTGCTGGTCCGAAGTGGTCCCGGTCTGTGCGGTCAGGTCAGGTCGGTAGGTCAGATCCATATGGGCAAGAACACCTCAATTTCCTCTTCCACTCCCTTTTCATCCTCGTACGGTGTAATTTGTTTTACCATCGTATAGATTTCGTCACTGCGTCAAAAGTGGTCACCTCATGGTGTGAATGAGGCTAAGCTATGTTAATTGAGAGTGTGATCGACATGATGGGACTGCCCAAGAGAGGCAAACACTGCGAAGCAAAGGACAGGAAGAGGCTCACCTTGTGCAGTCAGCCGTCAAGTGCAACAAGTCAGGCATTGACTTGCTGAGCTGCGCACTTCTTCGACCTCTTCCACTCACAAGGTTCCCTACTTCCCAGCCAGTCGCTTCATCCTCTCCTCAGCCGCTCGCGCTCTCTTCTCTCGCTCCAGCTTCAAGCGCATTTCATCCGTCATGCCCCGCGCCTCTTCCGCCCGCCTTTCTTCCGCCGTCATCTGCGGCTTTGCCATCGTGTGACCTTTGCCAAACTTCTTTTCCTGTCGAGCATTCACCTTCTCCGAATCTTCCTTTCGTATGCGTTCCATCTCTGTCACTCTTCTTTTCTTCTCGGCCGCCTCTTCCGCAGCTTTTTCTTCCTTCTCCCGTGCAGTTCGCGCGTCCACGTCTGCTTGCGACAAAGCCACGGGCACACCGGCGCTGTCCCATGCCCATCGTTCTTCACCCACTTGCGCCCGAGCGAGTCGGAAGGCATCCCGAGTCGCACGATCACCTGCGATGTCAAAGGCGGACTTCCCATCTTCATTTCGGATCGTAGGGTCTGCGCCGATCTTGGTCAGCAATGTCGATATGCAGGCGGGACTGTTCGAAGCGGCGGCCAGGTGGAGTGGTGTGGGGGCATGACGGTTTTGGTCAGGAGGGAAGAATCGGAAGTTGGAATCGAGCTTGTTGGATTGTAGATAGGATTGCAGTCCAGGGGCTTTGGAGCGCCGTATCAGTGCTTGGAGTTGCTGAGTGTGTAGAGCAGCCTCCTCGTCCTCCTTCGAAACCTTGGCAGGCTTTGTAGCGGAATTCTTGCTATTGGCCAAGGCCTCGGCCTTCGCAGTGGCAATGGCAGCTTCTTCCGCAGCCTGTTTCGCGAGAGCAGCTTCATCGACGGTGCTGACTTTCACTCTCGTGAGTTCCACAAAGGCCCGCATCAGCTCCGATTGCGTCGCGCGTCGCGTATTGAAAGGAAAGCCACGGATCCGGTCATCTCGTGAATTGAGAACCTGTTCATCGTAGGGTCCAAAAAGTGTTCGCCGGTTGGTGGTCCCTGAGGCACGGATGAATAACAGCTCGGCGCTGTCGATGAGCTCTCTCCATTCCGCGAGGAGATCTCTCACCTCCTGGATCAAAGCAGACTCGTTGTACCTTCGAATGCTCGAGCCAGCAGAGTGAGCATTGCCCTTGGCGTTGTCGTTTGCAGATTGCGAGCCACCTTGCTTCCGTCTCGTCGTATAGCGATGGAATGTCTTGTGCGCAATGACGGTGGCAGTCCTGTCTTCTGCACCGGCCTTTTTGGTGAGCTTGGGCGTGAGAGAGACCAGCATGCCAGCGAAGTGGCCTCCACCGATCATACAGAGGAAGTAGTGAGGCCCATCGGCGCTGGTGCCTTTCTGTATCATTGATGCTGGCAATGGCACTCCTCCTCCTCCACCATCTTCCTCCTCCTCTGCAGACTTCTGCTTCTTCTGGTGTGATGGCTGCGGCTTAGGCGCAAGCTGCTTTTCCTTGATGATCTCGAGGAGCTTGTCCTCCTGTTCCTGCTCTTTCGACGTGAAGATTGAGCGATACACGCCGAGGGAGGTGTTGGAAGGTAGTTTCGGAGTCGAGAACCACAGGAAGGGCGGCTTGCCTGACCCACGCTTTCTCTTCAGCGTGGGCGCATCATCAGCATCGCCGTCGGTGATTTTCGCCTGGCGCTTCAGCAATGCGCTCAGCGTCGAGTCCTTCTTCTCATCTTCTTCATCTTCCGTGTCCGATGTATCTGAGCCGGATATGCTCTCGTCGAGTTGCCCCACCAACTTCTCAAACTCATTCTCATCCACGGGCTTCTTCCCTCGTATCTTCTGCTTGAGGTTGTATCCATGGAGGTCTGATCGTATGTGGCTTCGCTGCTCCAAGAGACTCGGGAAGGTCAAGCCACATAGCGCACATGAAGTGGCTTTTGCAGGTCCATCATCCTGCTGCGCAATACCATGGGGCGATGGCGAGGGCGGTAGGGAGGGCGATGGCGTCGCTGCGTCTGGAGGGGGAGGTGGTGGTGCGGTCTGAGCCTTGAGCTGTAGCGTATACAGGATTTCCTCTGGCAAGTCAAAGACTGGAGGGAGGTCAGTACAGCGTCCTCGTCACAAGCCATGCCATGCCAGCCATCTCGAGCCAGCAAGAGACCAACCGTACAGAGGTCGCCGCAGCAGCTTGTCAGCCATGTCCTGTTGGGCCATTATTCCGCTTCGTATGCTGCAGGCAGTCTAAGGTATGGGTACAAGTAGGCAGTAGCTGTATGAAAGGCAGACGTTCAGGTGAAGAAGAGTACAGTGAACGGTCACAGGTAGGTCAACAACGTGAAATCATGGGTATGATTATCATCACCACGTCACAATCACATGCAGAGTTCCGGTTGCCAAATCAGGTGAGCCCCGCTATATTGGGCCCTGATAATGATGGTTTGTGATGATGCCCGGCTTGGAAAAGAACAAAATAATCCATCAAGGTGCCAGGCTACGGTACGCCAAACCCGACTATAGAAGAGTTGAGAACAATTCAGCCTGTCACTACCTACTTCCAAGCCTCTCTTCCAAGCCTCTCTCCCTCTCCCTCCCTCTCCCTCTCCCTCTCTCTTCTGCACATACAGTACTAACCACCCACCGACTTTCAATATTCCTTTTGCCCATCATCATCATCATTATCTTCACCACCACCACCATCACCGCCACCGCCACCACCGCCAGTCTCTGCGGGACTTCAAGACAAGAGAGAAACAGAAACAAGCGTGCACACCTCAGGCACCAGCCGGCTTGGTCCATGTGGCTGGGATAACGAGTGGCGGTGCTGACGAACCCTCGAAACGACTGGACGAACTGAAGCTCACGAACAAAGGAGTCAAAGCGAGACGCGCTGGGCATTTCTCCGGTGCGACGACGAACGGAACCTCCCCAGACGGCATCGCTATTATTCCTATTATCATCATTATATCGCTCCAGGACGAACGTGTATCAACATGCCTATAAGCAATGATGGCAGGGGGTGGATCATGACTGGATTGAGCGGCGTCGGTGAGCATGGCAGTCTTGGAATACCCGTCCTCTTCACAGCTAACCTCTCCACAGCCTGCATCTGCGGAGCGTCCTTTATATGTGTGGATATCATCGTTCGTCAATTTCCTGGGAAGAAGGGGTGGCGAATACAGGACAGCGATGTCTTTCTCTCCATATCGCTGAGTCTGAGCTTCGGAGTCATGGTATGTGTATACTACCTTACCTGTAACCTTACGTGAGAGGTCGGCGACCAACAAGACGTGCACGCTAACGCGCCCACAGCTCTTCTCGGCTTTGTATAGCATGCTGCCTTCCGCCAAGTCGTCCCTCATCAAAGGTGGCCATTCATCTCAAGAAGCATCGTGGATTCTGATTGCCTGCTTCGCCGCTGGTGTGATTGGCATTCAGATTGTTTCGAGAGTGATGCATCATTTTGTACCCCATAATGTGGTCGACTGCGAGCACCAACATGACGACGAAGAGAACCAGAAGGAGAATGGCGGCCACTCACACCACGGGCACGCAGACAGCCACAATCACGATCACCACGATAATGTCAACCATGTCCCAGCCCGACACAAGTCAGCTCGAGCGATAAAATCCCACAGAGGTTACGCCCGACGACCACAGATGCGGGAAGCACAGACCTCATTGTCCTACTTCAGCAACCACAAGTCCTCGCTCTCGAATCCGACTGCCGCTCCATCATCCGAGTCTACGCGTCCGTCTCTGCTCGCGGACGAGGCTGGGAGAAGACCGACCTTACAATCTCGAATTACCTCGAGCGTGACCAAGCTGGCGTCCGTGAGGGGCCCCTCTTGTGAACGCGACGGCCCTTGCCATGGCTATAGCGATCCGTGCCAAGAGACATGTTTCAAAAGTGTTGCCGCAGCAGGAGGCTTGAAAGCGCCAAAAGCTACATTAGGCATGCATCGACCAGCAGCCACAAAGAGTGTAACAGCGACAGAGGCCACACCTTTGTTGCGTGGTAGGTCTCAAGAGCACCTGACCAGACCTCACACGCGAGCAGATGCAGAAGGCGCGGCAGGCTGCAATCACCACCAACATGATGCTCATAACGACGGACCATCCGATACCAGTGCGGAGACGCTGGCGCCCGATGGCACCGACGATGTGCACCAGATGCACGCTCACATTGCCAAGAGTGGTGGAGGCGGCGTCGAAGAAGAAGAAGAAGAAGGTGATGATGGTCAGGCGGAACATCATCACCACCATCACGTCCCCACGAACGCTTTCATGGAAATTGGCCTCCAAACCTCGATTGCCATCGCCCTCCACAAACTCCCCGAAGGCTTCATCACCTATGCCACGAATCACGCCAACCCCGAACTCGGCATCTCCGTCTTCATCGCCCTCTTCATCCACAACATCACCGAAGGGTTCGCCATGGCGCTCCCGTTGTATCTCGCCATTAACAATCGTCTCCAAGCGATGGTGATTTCATTTGTCCTCGGCGGTCTCTCCCAACCGCTCGGTGCCGGTGTGGCGGCGGTGTGGTTCCACGTGGCGGGACAGAGCAATTGGGCGCCGAGCGAGAGTGGGTATGGAGCCATGTTTGCCATCACGGCGGGGATCATGACGAGTGTGGGGTTGCAGCTGTTTGCGGAGAGTTTGGAATTGACGCATTCGAAGCATTTGTGCTTTATTGGTGCTTTTGCGGGAATGTGTATATTGGGGGCGAGTAGTGCGCTTACGGCTTGATGGCTTGATGGATGGATGTATGGATGTATGAATGAATGCATGAATGATGGTAGTCTGACTCGCAGTATCGATATGTATGACGAGACACGTGAAGTACCATGGAATTGTGGACCCAGATCTAGATTATGAATTTCAAAGGTTCCTTCATCTTGGGATTCACGACATTGTACTCACGGCTACAAGAAGCTTACTCGTGACCTTTTTTCCCTGATGAAGGTAGATACAAGGTGTGTATATATATATTTGTTACCTTTGCACGTATATGGCAGGATCATATAATAAGGAAAATCACGACCCCTTCTTCCGTTCAATACGCTCAGAAATCACATCCACCATCTTCCGAAGTCCATGTTGTCGTTCTTCTTGCTTCTTGCACAAAAACAACTTGACCACAGGCCACGCGTGCACCCAGCCATACTCTTCATATTCATCGACTCGCACCTCTGCTCGGCGCAATTTGGCAATCAAATCTTTGGCTTCGGGCGCAAAAACTTCTTCGGATGCGTAAATAAAATACCAGCCGTTGCTCGGAGATGCTCGGCGCCACCAGCCCAAATCATCGCAGCGGCCGGGCGAGACGAGAGCGTTGTCTTGCGAGCCGTTTTTGCCAATGTATTGTGTGCCGTAGAGGTGCAGGCTGTCGGCGTTGAGGTAGTCCGAGGGGGTGTTTTGGTTTTTGGGAGAGATGATGGTGCTCCAGGGGGAAATGATGATGGCGAGGCCCGGCATCTGGTTCTTGAGCGACGAGTAGCCGGATACGCATAGCATGAGGCTGAGAATTAGAGTCGCTCCTGCCGAGTCGCCGCTGACGACGACTTGAGAGGGAGAGTCTACGGTCGAGAGCACGTACTTGTAGCCTGCGAGTGCTTCTTGTACTTGGGTTGGATATGTGGCTTCGGGGACGAGAGTGTAGTCCAATGCGAAGAGGGCGGGGTTCGCATAGCCGGCTTGCTTCAGCAGAGTGAGCCAGACTAACAGAAATTCGAGATAGAAGTAGGTGGAGCCCATGGAGAAGCCGCCTCCGTGGCAGTAGTAGAGCATAATGTCGGGTTTGCGCGTGGCATCCATCACGGCGTAGATGCCTCGGACGCCGTCGCGGTGGACTTCGGTCCAGTAAATCGGCTTTCTGACGATGCCGTGCCGAAGCATGCGGAAGCGTATAAAGGGCAGCGCGACCCACTTGGAGAAGAAGACTTTGCCGATGGCGGCGGGAATATCGGCAAAGGCATATCGGACACAGCGGATGACGAGATCTTGGAAGAGAGAGGCGCGTTGGACGAAGGGGGAGCGCTGCTGGTGAGGCGTCAAGTAGCGCTCACGGATCAGCTGGACGGGCAATTGGAAGACTAGAGGTATATCATGGTTGCTTCAGTCGCGTGTATCATTTTCAATGCATGCATACCTCGGTAGGTGCATGGCGTCTTTTGACGACAGATCGGTATATGATCAACCTGAGGTAAGGATGTAAGGTAAGGTAAGGTATGCATTCGGGGCCTTACGCAGAAACGGCAATGCTTTGAGAGCACAGAAAATAGTCGGGAAGAGGCCAATCTGAATCAGCAATTGGGGCGCCAAGAAGAGGAGGAAGGCGATACAGTCGACCCACGCGATCTGGTCCAAGATCATCGCAGTGGAGACGGAAGAAGGATGACACGGTATGTTGTAGTAGTGGTGGTGTGGATAATGACAATATCATACATGAGGTGTATTAAGGTATGACAAGACAATGGAAGCTCGAAACATGCCCGAGGTGCATTCAATGGACAATGGCGGGTAACGGTCTCGGGCTGACGTAGACGGGGATTGTTAATAAGAGCATGTTATACCTATGTACCGTACTACAGCGACAGTGATATTCCAGGTTGTATTCATTCCGCAGTCGTGTATTATTCGTTACCTGATCAGGGTGAAGCGGTAATTGACGTGGTTCGGTCACTGAGGTAGGTGGTTTCTGGTCAGTATCTTCACGGAAGATGAGGTGAATGACTTGCAATGTCTTTCTGATATGACATGGCGGGACTCTCTGAATGCTGAAATTGGGACGACACCGGAGCTCGGCCCCGCCCGAGACTACCTACTTTAGGCCTAGATCGTCGTTCTGTCGCGTGGAAAAGATGTGAGTGGAGGCAGGCACGACCTGACCACCAAACTTCCATCGCAACCACCAACCACTGCACTTTCAACCCACTGACACTCGCAACCACCGACACCAGCATCTCCTCCGCCCACACTGCCTGCTTCATCCGACCTCATCTCCCCTACCCACACCTCCATTTCCATCAGCAACCTCTTCCATTCGCGAGCAGATATCAGCATTCTTACGCCATCGCCTTTCCTGCGCAACCATCGATGAGGACCGCCGCGTCTTTATCGCAGGCATAAGCTGCGATAGCTGCACTCTCACCCCATACCATCTTGCGCAATCCCCTCAATCGCGACTTCACGCGCAGACATCATGGCCAACTCCACCATGAGCGGCGCCGCTCTGGAATTTGCGCGGTCAGTACAGCGACGCTTCGTCCGCTGGCAACGGCGGAGGAAGACATCACACTGCACAGGCACAGGCACAGGCACAGCAGCTGACATTCCGGCAGATCCATCGAAGTTGCTTCCATACCCGAGAAGCTTCGCTGCGCGCAATGCGACAAGGTCGCCATCAATGCATTTCGACTGCCGTGCTGCGATAGTAGTATTTGCGGGGACTGTATGTGGGACACTTGAAGTGAGCGGACAGTTGAGTGACGGTGTACTGACTGACGACTCACAGGCAAAGAATCCATGACCGCGACCGAGTGTCCCGTGTGCACCCACTCGCCCTTCTCGGCTGACACTGCCACGGCTGCAAAAGCCCTTCGAACCACGGTCAATGTCTTCCTTAAAACAGAAGCAAAGAAGCGTGGGATGGACATCAAAGGCGACACCCTGAAGCCCATTGCGGCAGCGGAGCCTACACCTGCAGTAGCGGATACCCCAGCCGTAGAGGCCGAGCCAGCACTCGCAGCTGCTGGTGACGCTGAGCTACCTATAGCACCTGCTGAAGTCGAAGAGCCTGCTGCCAATGGCGATGCGACATCAGCAACTGGTCCTGAGGTACGAGAATGACCTACTTCGCTATACCACACATATGCCTCATGCTGACAGAAAGTAGGCTGGTGTCGAGGACATCACCATCAACGCCAATGCTGCGCACGCAGAGTCGAAGACTACTGATGCCGAGCAGGATGACGAGGATGAATCGGACGATGACGACGTCGTAATCACCACTGAACGACCCGAAGGCGAGGAACATCATCATCATCATCAACATCAAGAGGTGGAACCCGGCCACGAGCAATATGACGAACAAGCTAACATCGGAGGCAATAGTGACCAGAGCATGGGCATGAATCAACAGCAAGGCTTCGGCGGCGGCGGCTTTGATCCAAACATGGCCGGCTTCCACAATGGCAACTTTGCCAACATGGGCATGAACGGGTTCAATCCGATGATGGGAATGATGGGCATGGGCATGCCAAACATGATGGGTAAGCCCTCTTTTTCCTATTCCCCCCCTTTTGGCAACGGCAGCAGCAGCGACTGAGTGTGGTGGTAGGCATGCCTGGTATGGGCATGGATCCTTCGATGATGTTCAATGGCGGCTTCGGCGGCATGGGTGATATGAGTGCGATGATGGGCATGGGAATGGCTGGCATGGGAATGGGCGGCGACATGTCTGGAATGGGCAACTTTGGAGGCATGAATGGACCTGGTTTCTTTCCGAATCAAGGAAACTTTATGCAATCACAGAATTTCGGAAACGCTCCGCGACAAAACTTCTTCAATGAACGTGGCTACAGTGGTCGCGGTGGCGGCCGTGGCTTCGGTAGAGGCGCTCGTGGTAACCAGTATGGCCGTGGTCGCGGCGGTTTTGGACTTCAGCAACAGCAGTATGGTGGCCAGAACGCAGACTTTCCGCCGAATGCGCCCACTGGACCCAGTGGTGCACGTTCGCAGCAACAGCAGCAGACCGGTGCGAACACCATGGAGTTAGCAAACAGACGTCGGGCTTCTCCGACTTACGACGCAGTGCAGGGATCCAGTGATGCCTCCGCTGCTGAGTCTGCAGAAAAGTCACATGATACCGCTGCCAGGGAAGACCAGGATACGCCCACGCAGGCTAATCGTGCAGAGGGTGATACTAATGCCACAGACGAGAACCCGGAGCCACTGCAACAGAATGGCGACCACACGGGACAAGACACACAAGGTGAGCATACTTCCACACACGACAGGGAACTCGCAGGCTTACCAGTCGTGCCAGATGCGACACAAGTCGGTGCCGATCAGGCTGAAGGTCACAGTGGAGACAGTCGCGGAAGCGCAGGGTCGGTGAATGGCAGCAACATGATGGAGAGTGCGGTGATGGCAGAGCCTGTGTACGAGGACCTCGATGAAAGCATGCAATTTGAGCAGCAAAACCACAGCATGAATGGTCGGGGCGGTTACAGAGGACGAGGTGGTCCCGCGTATGGCGGCTACCAGGGCAGAGGCACCGATAGCACTGAGTTGACCCCCAAGCCTGCGCCTCCTGTCAATGCTCCTACTGGTCCCAAGGCTCTTCGTCAAGGCCTCCCCAATACCGGCTGGGTGAGCAGGGCGACTCTTCAAAAGCCCACATCGGCCCCTGTGACACAGCGATCCGACTCGCAGCTCCGCTCCCTAGAGCCACGACTGGATGCCTCACCAGAGCATGATCGCGGGACTCGTGATCGTTCGGCATCTCGATCGGTCTCGAAGCACCGGAGCAGAGACGACAGAGAGCGTGAAGGAGAGGACGAGTATGAGGACGAAGAGGCGTATGCTCGCCGCAAGGAACGCAAGCGTCGCGAACGCAAGGATCGCGACCGCAAATATGACGACGATGGCCGCGATGAGGAAAGTTCGTCCCGCAAGCATCGCTCTCGATCTGAATCTCGGACCGACGATGGCTCTCGGCGGCGACACCGCGACAAGGATGACGAACACCGCTCCTCTCGCTCGCATCGTGACAAGAGCAAAGACCGGCACCGTTCACGTCGTTATCGCTCCAAGTCTCCCGTGAAAGACTATGAGCAGGATCATGATTCGCGTCGGAAGAGTAAGCGCGATGACAAGTATGACGATTACAAGGAGAGTCGCAGTAGCCGAAAGGGGTCGCGTCGAGAGGAGGAATACAACAAGTATGAAGAGAGCAAGAAAGATCGTTCGTCTCGCTCGTCGCGTCACGACAGACCTTCGCGCGATGAAACTCGTGAGCGTGATCGTCCTCGTCCTGTGATTGAGCCGCCTTCAGACGAGCTTGGTTTCAAAATCAAGGGCTCGACCAAGAACAAGAAAGACAATATGGCTCCTCCGTCACAGTCTTTTCATCGTGATCGTGGTGGCAGTGAACGTCGTGGCAGTGGTATGACCGAGCCTTCTGCGCCCGCAGACCCATATGCCGAAGAACGTGCGCGCGCACAACAGAATCGTGAAGCCAAAGAGGCTCAGCGCAGACAGTCTACGAACGACTCTCGTTCCTCCCTCGGCAAGCGCGGTCGTGATCATGAGGACGAAGGCGAGCGCGGTGTTCCCACGGGACCTAAGGGAGATCGTGGTCGCATGCTGCCGAAAAAGGGCAGAAAGGAGAGACGCATATCTTACAAGTACGAGGACGAGGTCGAGATGAGCTAGAGTCTGTCTGCTCGTATTAATCATACCAATGGTGATGGCACAGGCGAGCTTTTCCCGGAGAAGGTGTTGAGGAGCGCCGAGCGCCTCCTGCGGGCCTGAACATTGCGATTGTCCCGAATAGCAATCTACTTTACTCTGCTGAAGGTAGACCATACCCGCGAACAAGAGACGGCAGGTTCCCTGGTGAGCTTATGGGCTGTTGCGAAAGCTGAGGCCTGGGAACTCTGGAAGGGCACTACAAGGACATGCTTATATTGTATGTCACTAACAAGAGCGAGAACAGCGCCCGTACAAGTGTGGAGTGAAGGACTGCGAGATGGTCGTGGAAAGGTTCCGAGGTCACAGCATCCACACGAAAGACTCGAGTTGTAGGGGGTGGTGTCGTTGATCCCCGGGCATGAGGTCTATGGCGTGTACCCCCTCCCCTATATATCACGCCCGCTTCAAGACGCAAAGTACCTACCTCTGCTTCTATCATGGTGCTCTCACATGTATATACCGTACGTGGGAGATAGTACAGTACAGGAGGTACATACCTTGACCTGATGGGAGTGATGCGCGACGAGGCTGGCTGTGCTGGGAAGACGCTTGCTGCTGTATATGTAGGTAGTAATCCAAAAATTAATCAATTAATTCCACTCTCGTCATGCATGCAATGCTACCTACCTACCTTTAGGTACCTACCTTACCTAGGTACTATTGTGAATCTCTCACTTCTCTTTTCCTACACTTATGTATGTTGTTGGTAAATGGCCATCAAATCTTTCGATCCTAGGATTTCTCTCAAATCAAGTGTCTTTGGTCGGAAGAAGGATTTTTTTCTTTCTTTCTTTCTTTCTTTCTTTCTGTGTCTAGGTAGGTAGGCAGGTATTCTATATTTGTTTTGGACTGATGGCTGATATGTTCTTTCTGTATATGTTTGGTATAAATAAGAAGGGTAGATAGATGGATAGGTTGTTGAGAGGCGGATGGACGGACGGATGGGTGAATTTGTTTCGTGGAAAAAGTTTGAGTAAGTATGTATGTATGTGTATGTGTATTGTGTTGTATTGTGATACATGTTCGAGAAGTTCATGATCGTGTCCATGTCGCATTATCTACATTTTATCTATTTAGGCTGCAAGGGAAAAATTTCGTGAGCAGCATCGTGATACAGGCAAAGTGTAATTCATCATTATCATCGTTAGTCTCATACCACTGGTCTGCCAAACATGGGAAGAGAAGCTCCACCACGCAATCCAGGAGGAGTGCTTATTATTGTGGAAGAGGCACTCCCAGACGTTCCTTCACCCATACACCACGTCTCTTCGTTCCAGCCAGGAGGACGCCAACCGAAGAGATCAAAAGCTTCTCTGCTCCATGGTCCTAGATCCTCGGGCTCCTCTGGCGCTTTTCGTTGCGCTCCAGCTTTACCTGGTCTCTGAAATGGTTTGCTGAGCATGACTGCGGAAGTGCCATTGGAAGGAGTTATGTTCAAGCTCACAGACTTTTGTAGAGGGCCTTTTTTCTTGTGAATTAACTTGCCTGGTAGTACACATGCAGCGTTGGCAGGTTTCTGCTGTGTATCGGCAATCGGCTCGACTTGTCCACTGCCCAACCCTGACTCAGGAGCGCTTTTATGAGAACTTCTAGGAGGAGAGAGGGTGTATCGCAGTGGTGCGGCCGGGAGCCGTTCCGATCTGGAAGGCTGAACGGAAGCCACGTCAGAGACCGCACGCCGTAGAGTGGGCGGTGGCAGCACGGGGACCGATTCAACAGCGCGAGGTTGTGGTTGAGGGCCAGGCTGTAATGGAGGAGCAGCACGTGGTAGCACCAGTCGGTCCAGGCGGGCGGACTCTATGACTGACGCATCATGCGATGTTGAAGCGCCTCCCGAAGGCGAGTCCTGCCCAAAGACACCCATGGACGGACCATCTGGCAAATCATCATTGGGGTTCGGGTCGAGGTTGAGTGGCGAATCTCTCGACTCTACTACTGAGGCTCGCTTCGTTGGCAATGGACCTTCAACAGATTTCTTTCTCTTTTCAATTCTAGCAAGGCGAGCTTCAACTTTTTCACGAGCCGTCAGGGGCCGTTCCTCTTCTGCATCGTCCCGGGCTTGAACAAGCGATGAGTCTCCGACATCATCTGTGTTGGTGGACGAAAGCCTCTTCGGGTTCCTGGTCAGCTGGTCTTGACACAGCAGGGTTCGCTTCTTCCGGCCTGCGCTTACGAGACGCAGAGCCTGACCAAGCTTGCTGCTCGTTGATCCTTGTGTTGTCGAGCTTGCATCGTGGACCAGCATCTCCTTCATTGGAGGCTGTTTCGCACCAATATGAAGGCCTGATTCGTCCTTCCGCTGCCTCTGCTGCCTGTCTGGTTTGGAGGCTGCAAATTTACGGGGGTTTGCAGGCTGCACAACTTCTTCCTCCAATCCTTGTGGTTCGGGTTCCATAGCTTCTTGTATCGGTTTGGGCTTCGATCTTTGCGCTTGGGACGCTGGCGAGCTAGATTTGCCGAGCGCATTGCTGCTAGTAATGGGCCTGCGCTTTGTGGGGGGCGAGGACTGCGCATAAAGATCGTCTGAGAGAGCAGACAGAGGTTCGTTGGAATGTGGTGGATCGTCGGACAAGTTAATCACCTCTTTCGTGCCCATTCGCTGTTGTCCTGCTGCCACAGACGCTTTCTTCTTCTTCTCCATCTTCTCCTCCTTCTGTTTCCTAGCATCTGCAGTGCATGCCCAGAGCGGTGTCCCAGTTTGCTCTGCAGATCTCGGGGTTATGGTCGTCCTGGTCACGTTTCTTGCTGGTGCAGTGTCGAATCGCGGCCGCTTTGGTGGTCGCCCGTCTGTCCAGTCCTCATGCTCAACAGGGGCGTATCTCTCTTCGAAAGGAGATCGAGATGGCAGCTGGGCGATCCCAATGGGCCCTCTCGGCGTCCCAAGCAGAGCGTTGAGCGATTTGTGTTTCAGCTGCGTGCCGGACCTTGCTGCTGGCCCAGCGGGCTGCAGTCGCGGCGTCTGCGCTGTGGCTCTCCGCGCTCCATCGTGATTCGAGTCCTGCACTTTCGGCGTGGTCCTGTTCTTGCTATTCCGCAGCGCAGTCAAGTCCGTCTCGGTCTGGCCGATCTGCTCTGCCACCTCCACCATGACGCCGTTGCGCTCGAGGGACAGCTCATCGCCGGCCTGAATGGCCTCCGCCCGGGTCCAGTGCATGTCTCCGATGAGATTTCGAGGCATATCGTAGACCATGACGCGCTTGTTGAAGGTGTGGTATCGGAGGAAGCCATCCTGCCACTTCTTCGTCTTCTTCCGACTGTCGTGCGTGTAGAGGCATTCATATTCCAGCACCGGCGCCGTGTTCTGCGTCAACGGCACCGACAGGGACGCCGCTGTTTTGGACATTGCAGCCGTCATGGTGGACTTGTCGCTCGATCATCGTGTCAGGTCGTGGATGAAGTGCATGTTCCCACCGAGATGGTCCTTACCTAGGTACGATGTGCGTGAACGCGTCGAGGTGGAGACTTGGGAGCGCGCGCTTCCGTCGCCAAGTCACGTGATATGACCCCGTCCCACGTTGCCTTCACTCCAATCTGACTAACAACGACTACAACAACACCGACAACGACAACAATACCGACGACAAGAATACCGACGACAACAATACCGACGAAAAGGCCAACCAGACCCCTCAACGAGGCTGCCATGATCCCCTCCACCGTTTTCTTCCCATTGGCTACGGCTCTGCTGAACACACCGAGCTGACTCGCCCATCGACATCTACAACAGCCTCGGAATGGCCTCGTTTATAGCTCGCTGCCGCATCTAATTGCACAGCAGTCAGCAGTCAGACTTGCAATCAAGGGCTGAGTAGTACAAAAGTACGCACCACCACCAGATTGGCCAGGTCTCGTTCATACAGGGTGTTGCACTTGAGGGGCACCCTAATATACAAGGTACTTCTATGGCGGGAAACAACCTAGAAAGAGAGAAAGCCTCAAGGTACGGTACTGTGTGCCCCAGCTGCATTACCCCATATGCACATGGTATGACAACCAGGGGAGCCCCACAATCCGGGGCACGTCGAACAAACGCCATGTGGAGCAGACAGACAGGCGGAGGGAGAACAAATTGAACTGAACTGTTCACGACTTCGACCCGCGGTGTGAAATGAGACTGGGGTGTGGCAACCTTCCCCCACACTGCTCAGGTTGTTATTACTCCTTTCATGGAAGCAACACGGCCAGGAACTACACAGCTCCAACCAGACAATTTGTTTGAGGTCACATCAGAGCAGTAATCATCGCCATGGCGCTCGGTATCCTCGAACCTCACACAGCGGCTCCTGTGGCCGGCACGGTCATTATTCAGGACGATGTGGCCGCCGATACGCCTCATTCCTCGCAATTGAAACATGGCACAGGCAGCAGTGCGAATGTGGTGCTGAACCCCCAACCTTCTGACGATCCCAACGATCCCCTGAATTGGAGTGGCCGGGAGAAACATGCCATCTTGGCCATACTCGCCTTCGGTTGCATCGTCACTGCTTGCGTAGTGGTAGGTAGTAGTAGTGTTCAACATCAGCCAATGTTGCTTACGATACATCTTTTCTGACTCTGTTCGGCACCAACAGGGTCCTCTCTTGAATGCTGGAACGGTAGAAATCGCTATGGACCTCAATGTCTCACCAGCCACGATAGCCAAAATGAACGGGTACACCCTCCTCGCTGCTGGAGTGTCGGGTCCTTTCGCTGCTGTCTGTGCGAACAAACTGGGAAAACGCCCGGTCTACCTCTTTTCCTCTACAATGGCATTGGTGGGATGCATCATCGGAGAGGCTGCCAAAACCTACCGGACGTTGGTGACCGCACGTGCAATCCAAGGACTATCGTGCTCCGCCTACGAATCCATCGTCATCTCGTCGGTCGGTGACCTGTTCTTCGTTCACGAGCGCTCTCCCCGTGTCGCCATCATCATGTTCATGCTGACAGCAGTAAACAATGGTGTCTCGATCATCGCGGGTCCAATCACTGCGGAGCTGGGATGGACCTATAATTTCCACATCCTACTGCCATTCACCGCCTTGCAGTTGATTCTATTGTTCTTGTTCTGTCCCGAGACCACCTACAACCGCAGCGCAGTGTATGATGCTGATATCACAGCATCAGACGAGGACGTGCATGCGTTGGGTGACGTGGAGGAAAAAGATCGCCGAAGCGGGCAATATGCTCGCGAAAACGATGGCACTCAGCCCAGCCAAGCCGAGAAGGCAGAGAAAAGCCTTCATTTCGAAACAATACCCACGCAGACAAGCATTCAGCGCCCGCGCAAGACGTTTGTGCAGCGATTGGCCCTTTATAGCACGAATTCGACTTCCGAACCAGCCTGGAAAATGCTCCTTGCCTGCCCTGCCATTATGCTGAACGTAGGCGCTGCATACAGTATCGCTACGTCGGGCCTGATCATCACATGGTCAGTAGCTCTATCGGTGATAGCTGCGGTGCTCTGGTCGGTCCCTCCATATTCTCTCACTGCAGCTGGTGTCGGCTATGTCTCGGTTGGACCACTCATTGGCGGCTGTCTGGGCGCGCTGGTGTATGGGTGGCTGTCTGACCCATTCATCAAGAGGATGGCAGCTCGGAATGGAGGTGTGTACGAGCCGGAGATGAAGCTGCCTATTGTCTTGCTCGGCTTGGCGCCTGCCATCGGAGGTCTCGTGGGATTCGGGTATGCAAATAAGCATCACGACTCCATCTACCTCATATCATTCACCTGGGCCCTGGCACTGTTCGGGCTGACCATCCTCGTGGCCGTCCCCACGGCCTACGCATTGGACGCATTCCGTGCTCATAGCGTTGAGATCTTCATCATGAATATGACTTTCAAGAACTTGTTCTTCTACGGGTAAGCCGACTGAGCAAACCAGCAGCGACACTTGTCCATCATACGCTGACGTGTTATGAACAGTCTCGTCAACTACGTCGTCGACTGGTACATGGACCAAGGCGTGGTTAATATGTTCGGAGTCATGGCAGGCCTCACGGTGGCATTGACGTTGACCACGCTGCCAATGTACGTGTTCGGCAAGCGTTATCGAAACTTCTGGCAACACCATAACTTGTTGGTGAAGTTTGGGCTTCGCGATGAAGTGAATAGAATAGACTCGGAGCCTGTACGTTGAGGACTTGAACTTCACATGACAACATGGGGAGCGAGATGAATGTGCCGACGTTTCAAGGCTACTAGGGTTGCTAAACGCCGCTGCTGCTACTGTCGCCGCGCCCCTGGCCAACAGGGGAGAGAGATTGAAATTTGCGGGGAAATTTGCGGAGAAAAGTTTCTAGTTGAGGGGGATGTGGGGTCATCCTAGTATGAATGTATACACGCCATGGCACTGTAGCAGGGGAATGTCGCTCGCCGCCCACTACCACTACCACCACCACCACCACCGCCTCCACCATCAGCACCACCATCTCCAACAACCTCCACCACCAAGAACAGTCGTGGAGGACATGGCCGTCGAGCCTGTACCACCTACTACAGCCTCTGAAGATGCTGCTGCACGGCGCTTTCACTGTACCCGCTGTCCAAAATCATTCAAGCGGAGCGAACACCACCAACGTCACGTGCGAGGCCGTAAGTCACAGCCAGTACAGTTGATATCGATGTCTTGTGTGTCGTGGAGTCCGACGTTGAATGTTCACTCTGAGCGTGATGTGGCTGCTCTAAGCTGCCTTTGGCCCCAGGCGCGGTAGCTTGGGGCGAATTCGAAAATGGGAGATGATCTGACTTTCATGCCACGAGACCGTTATCTTCTCCTGTGAGCGCCAAAGCATTACCACGTTGACCTCTCCATTAGACACGCAAGAGAAGCCCTTTCAATGTCATATATGCGCTCGGCGCTACAGCCGAAAGTGCGTCCTGGCCCCCTTCCTCCCTCCTAGCCCCTTTTCCCACCTGCAGTACTCGATTGTATGCGACCAGCACTTCTGACTCGCGTGCACTGCATACAGAGACCTCGTAACCCGACACGTCAAAACTCTACATTCCGGTGAATTGGCTGCCGACGAGCAGCAGCAACAGCAGCAGGACGACACCGCGTCCGTCAGCAATCATGATCCAGTCACGCCTAGTGCGTCTCCCTCCCCGAAGCACCGTGTCGCCTTGCTAAGCCCCGTCAGATACGAATGAGATGGGCGACGACTCCGTGTCAACTACTCAAGATGTCGCTCCTGATGCAATCCCGTCTTCGGTATCTGGCGCCGCAGCCGGGGGTGCAGCGCCTCCGCTGCACCATACTGCCACGCCGCTCTCTCCGCCAGCCGACTCCTTCATGTCCAATACCGCTTCAGGGTCTCATCCTGATCAGGACTGGGGAGTTATGGGTAGCCTCGACTTTTTTGACTTGTCTTTTGACATGTGGCCACAGAATACCGGGGCGATAGGACCATCCAGCATATCGAACATGATGACGCCCACTTCCTGCATGCTTCTACCACCATTGACAGATGCCAACGCCCCCATGCCGAACATGTATCACCAGCCGCTGTGGGAGACCCGCATGACACCAGCAGCTGCAAGAGATCAAATGTTACCTTTTCAGCACACTTCGCCCGAGTCGTCTTCTTCCGTCGCCGATGAAGGAGTGAGCTCACCATCACTGCCCGTTCTATCGGATGAAGTCTTTCTGCGCGCTTTGAAACATGCACCTCAAGCACAAGGACTCAACACTGCGCACTACCCTACCGTCGATGCCTTACGCTCCTCGGTCCAGACTTACTTCGAGGCTTTCGATGTACATCTTCCCATCTTCCATATCCAATCCTTCCAAGCGGCGGCCGAGATCCCACAGCAGCTTCTTGCCGTGGCTGCAATCGGTGCTCTGTACCGGTTGGAGCGGCGCACCGCTGCCTTCTGTTACTTGGCTGCTGAGCACATAGCCAAGAATGACACTCAAAACCATGTCACTCATGGATCGGAATCTCCCAGCATTGCTGAACTCACAGAGCCTCATCGAATGTGGAATGAAAAGCCTGCCCGCTATACACTGGCTGGCGCTCGAACACAATTACTACTCTCTCTGTTCGCCTTGTTTCATGGCACCGATATCAGCACGCGCAGGATGATGTCCAGTTCCGCTTCACAATATGCTGTAAGGTGTACGAACCATCAACGAAGGTGGGGCATTAGCTGACCGAGCTGAGGTGTAGGCATACCAGGCGATAGCGCAGACTGTGGCTCTCGATTCGCTCGGAGCAGATCAAGCTAGTATGACTTACCACAAGTGGGTGGAGCATGAGTCCATGAAACGGTATGTTTGCTGCGGGAAACGGAAACCAGAAGTATGAGGCATCACACTGATATGGTCCGACCGATGACAGTATCCTCCACGGGACTTGGATATTCTACAGTATGCTCCAAGTCACGTATGGAATCCCGTCACCACTCTCAGTGAGTCGAGACGGCGGGCCCTCGTTGCCGTGTATGGACAGCCTGTGGCTGGCACGCACCGAGACATCGTGGAGACGAGCAACGAATCGATCAGGCACACAATCTGCCATGAGCATCCGAGACGCTTTCCAAAGCCTCCTGACGGACTCCGACACGATCCATGTCGGTATGGCGCCTTCGTCGCAATGGGGTCGATTCGCCACCCTTCTCATGATGCACGTGGTCACGGTTCAAGTCGGTCAGGCTTCGGAGGCAGCGAGGTCGTGGCTCGGTCGGTCGGACGGCGTGACGGCTGCTCCTGAGAAGTCCAGCATCACAGTATTTGAGCAAGTGAAGCCGACGCTGAATAATTGCCGTTCGCTCGCGGTGGCATCGGGGAGCATGCGTGCGGATGTACGGACGGAGAGAGGCGACAGTCTATTGTTCAACGCAGTCTCGGTTCTGCGTTTATGCTATGGCCAAGCTCTTCCTCTCGCTGCAGAACGATCTTCACTGTTGCGATGCGAAGATGCAGTGCTTGACAGTGCACTTCGCAAATTTGTCGGTGTCGAGCAGGCCCGTAACAACTTCATCACGCAAACCATTTCCTGGACGTTCGAAGGCCTGTGCATACCAGTGCGTAAAGGCGTGCTCCTGGTCCGCAAGACGGCGGCTCTGACGTGGAGTATGGAGCATGCTCTTGCTGGGTGGGATACAGGTATGTAAATGCACCTAACCAACGGAGTACGCAGCGGTGCAGTATTGGCTGACATAGAAGCAGCTCTCATCATCGCCAAATGGATACACAGTGTAGAGCGAGCCAGACGTGTTGACGGTGCCGTGGGACAGGATGAGTTGGAGTTATTCAACCACATGGCACGATTTCTGGGCCGAGTCGAAGCACAATCTCACCCGCCCGTCTCGGTCGCCGCCAACATCTCACGCTTTTGGGCCGGATTCTACGAGGACACTTGGGTATGGGGAGGTATGTGTGATGCGTGTGCTTGGGAGCATGTTCATTTTGCTATACCCCTTGCTGCTGCGACTGATTGAAGAGCTTTGCTGACTATGATGCCCTGGAATAGTGACTGCGAGGATGGGCTACATCCTCAGATCTCTCGCTGATATATTCGAGTCTTCGCCATAGCCGATGTTCTGAGCATGTGGTCTGCAGACACGGAAATCAAGAGATGCGAATGAAGCCACTTTCCAACGGTGCGAGGGTACAACGGCACAGAAAATTCGAGATTGATCATTCATTCTTTGTGCTACGCTACGCTTACATGGTCTCCGCTGCCGGAATCATATGCGCCGGTGTGGTCTTTGTCGCGCCCTCACTTACGCTGTGCGAGTCTACCCGCTCGATTTCTCGCAGACCCCGGTAATGTTGGGTAAAGTCATACTTGATAACATTAAGACCAAACTGCAACTCAATCGCCACCTTCAGGTCCGACTCGCCCTTTTTGAACCGCTGCAGAACGGGGTCGCGCTCAAAAGCACCGTCAGGGTTTTGCCACATGCGTTTCAGCCAGTTGCTCGAGTTGGGGTTGATGTGCTCGCGATACATCTGCCGGCGTACGGTGTCGTACACGTCCAGGATGGAATCGTCGGCCAAATTCAGATATATGCCCGTCAAACAGTCCGCCAGACCTCCGACGTCGACGATACCGCCTGTGAGCCCCATGCCGCCGAAGGGGTTACAGATATGTGCGGCGTCCGCGGCCAGACAGAACCGGCCCACTCGCATGTTTGGCGCGAGTCGCTGGTGCACTCGATACGGACTGAAATTGTCGAGTCGCCACTCGTCTGGCCCGGGCAAGATGGCCTTCATCTTGGCGGCGTGCCGTTCTCGCAGTTCCTCTCTCGTCAGACCCGGGATCTCGCCGTATGTCACGCGCCACAGGCCATCCTTGGAAATCCTGGCGACCATGTGCCAATGGGTCTCGTCAATGAGAAAGTTGGCGTCGTCGTAATCGTACTTTTCAAATGGGAAGTACATCTATGACGAGGACTGGGTCAGGACTGGGGAGAAAGAAGGCGAGGGGGTGGGAAAGGGGATCAGGGGGTGGGCTTGGACGTACATTGGTTGCCACGATTTGTTCGTTCCATGTAAAGCCTGGGAATACTGCGTCGCCAAAGAGCGACCGCCTTACCTGGCTGTTTGCACCGTCACAGCCCGCTATGTACTGAGCGTAGAGGCGTTCCCTCCCAGCAGCAGTCTCCACGTCCAGCCAGGCTTGCTGGTCGTCTTGTCCCAGACCGACGACTTTGGATTGCCAGCGGATGGTTGCAGAAGGGAGCTTCTCCAAACGTGCCAAAAGGATCCGACACAGTCCGTTCAAGGGCAAACATAGATGACGATCAGGATGGTCGGCGACCACTTCGGCGTTCATACACCCATAGCGTGTTCTCTTCTCATCGAGGCGGCGGAACGAGAGGGTTTTGGGATCAAATCCGGCCTGACGAATCTCGTCCAAGACTCCGGCGCGGCCGAGTTCGTACACGGCGGGAGATGCGTAGTGAGATGCTCGTGGCTGATTGTCCAAAGTGTCTGTCATCTCGACCAAACATACGGGAATATCTTGCTGGGCTAGGCGCAAAGCTAGCAGCAAGCCAGCCGGACCAGCCCCAACGACAATGGCCCATGGATTCTGCTGATCTGACATGCTTGGCGATGGTGCTTGGATGGTTCGGTGGGCCTTGTCAAGATTTGCGATCTCACTGCTTGCTATATCAAGGGCTTTGTTTTGGCGTGTTGGTTGTGAGAAAGCACAATATCAGCACTATTGAGTGCCTGGTCTTATTCCTACATAATTCCTGCTCCATCAAACCGTGCAAGAAACCCCCTCCCCTTTCTCTCCCCTTGCTCCACCCTGTTTCCCCACTTCACTTTGCCCCCCCCTTTTCCCCACCCGCGGCCCCAGTACTGATTCCAGTAGTCCCTCCGCATTCGATCGAGGTCACGGCAATCATCAACCTTGGCTCTCGTTTGATCGATCTTGATGCCGGCCTCTCCGCACGCAACTGAACTGCCGAGTAAGTTCTGGCTTTTAAGGTATAACGCGCTAATATAGGCACTTGAGGATCTTGGCACAGAGTGTACTACCGACACACATACCTTGGCACAAGTCTTCAGAGTGCTGTTGTATAATACTCCGATCAAGTGGCAGCTCTGCAGGTCATTCATCAATTCATTCACTCAATCAATGGAAGCTCCAGCTCGCACAATGATGCAAAAACTGACTCCCCAGGACGACGACTACCACAAGGTCAGGACCGACTTTGCCACGGCAGATGTCCCTGCGCTGCAGCCCCATAGCATCTTCTTACCTCGTAGCGCAGCAGAAGTAGCCGAGATTCTGAAGCACACTAGGAAACCAGGCGATGTAGTCGGCGTGCGTTCCGGCGGCCATTTGTTCTCCTGTTCGTCACTGATCCAAGATGGCATCTTGATCGATACGACGCACATCAATCGAACTGTACACTACGATTCCGCAACACAAATGGTCCACTTCGGACCCGCGGCTCGCGTGAGGGAGATTTCTGATGCGCTTTGCAAAGTTGGACGATTTTTCCCTCACGGCCATGCACCGAGCGTCGCAGCGGGGGGCTTCTGTCTTGCTGGCGGTCAGGGCATGTTCATGCATGGATGGGGTGGAACGGCGGAGACGTGGATTGTCAGTATGGAGGTGGTGACTGCAGCGGGAGAAATTGTGCAGGCGAGTCGGGAGGAGAATGGTGACTTGTTCTGGGCGGCGCGTGGGAGTGGCCAGGGGTTCTTTGGCGTTGTCACACGCTTCACTTGTCGGACGATGCCTGCGAAGCAAAGTCTGTATGAGATTGGTCTGACATTCCGCGTTGATCTTCGCTTTCAGGAGTTGTTCATGTTGGCAATGGCTCGGCACGATGCAATGCCCAAGTTATGGACTGAAGCGGCCATTTGCACATTTTACCCTGACAAGTTTGAGCGTCCGGAAGCTGGAGATGGCGAGTTTGATAAAGGGGCTCTCATGTTGTCTGCGGTGGCAACGGCCTATGCGGACAGTCTCGAGGAGGCTCGATTGTTACTGAGCGCGTGGGAGCAGCCGGTGCCTAAAGCTCTACAATCCCTCTTGGTCAGCACAACAGCTCTGCATCCCGTTTCATGGAAGGAGTATTTTGACAATCAAGACATCCTGGGTCGGTGCCATGATGGGAAAAATCGCTGGGCCATCAACAGTATCCTCACCGACCCTGATATTGAACTTCGAGACGTAAGTCGTAACCCTCTCCTCTACCCGCTACGGTATGCATGTTTCTGTACGATACTACTACTAAACTACTATGCTCCTACAGATCGCTGCTGGCATTGAGTCCGTCATGTGCGACCTGCCGACTCGGACTTCATTTGGCTGCATCTACGTCGGCGACTCTACGCCTCGTCCAGGAGAGTGTGCCTTTAGTCTCCCACAGCATCTCTATGTCTCTACTTTCACGGGATGGACGGACCCCCAGGCGAGCCCTGATCTCATGAAGTCACATATGAGGAGACTGTATCGACAGGCCGAGAAGGTCGGCTGTGGAATGTACGTAGCCGATTATGATGCAACGGACGATACGGAGAATGTAAGTCTTTTTACCCCTATCCAACCAAAAAGGTCCCTTTCTTTTCCTGGCCTGTTATAGTGCCTTGAACAGAGGTGAGAAGCTGACGGTGCAAAAAAATCAGTTCCCCGTTATGAAGGAACGGGTTCTAGAGAAGTTTCTGGCGGTGCGAGAGAAATGGGACAGCACTGGCGTCTTTCCCGGCTACAAAGCGTTTATTCGTGCTCGGAAAAGTTCTCCTCTGCCGGGTGGGAGAAGTCACTTATAGCGAGTTGGCAGAAAGTGTAAAGTTGAATTGAAGTTATGGCAGCCTTCTACGATGTGCTTGAAAAGGAAGAACAAATACTTCTTTAACAAGTGAAGTTAGAGACGGGCGCTTGAGATATTCACTAGTTGATCATCAGCACGAATGATCTATCACGTTTAGAAGTAGCCTTTTCTCTCTGCCAGGTTATTATACATAGACTACGAGTCCCCGTATCCAACGCTTTATAGGTGAAAAACTCGCTGTCACCCTTGTCGTCCCGACATCATGCAGATATATGGTCAAGCGAGCAGCAAGATATAGTGTGTCCCCTGTCCTTACCAAGACATAGGCGAGAACTCTAGCATAACGATCTCGGGGACTCTACGGGCCATGGCACGCCATTCTGCATAGCGTAGTACTATATATTAAGTCGCTATGATTTGATCTTGGCAGCCCAGTCTTCGTCACCACCAATATATCTGAAAACCACCCTCGAATCTCTATTCTCGCATCGACTGTCCTTACTCGCATCCACATACGCTTGCAGTCCCGTTGATCCCAACAGCAAAGTGGCATTCACAGACTTTGCAGCGTCGACAGCCAGACCAAAGTCCTTCGCCATGAGCTGAATCTTGAATCCTCCCTGATAATCATTGCTCGCCGGTGCAGCAGGACACACCCCTGGAACGGGATTCCACACGTCGTTAATAGTGCTCTGAGCAGTACTCGTCGAGAAAACCGACGCGAGAATGCGAGGATCCATGCCCGATTTGATGCCCAGATTCATCGCCTCGGATGTCGCTAGGGCGATTAAGCCTGAGCAATAGTTATTGCAGAGTTTCGCTACCAAACCCATGGAGGGTCCGCCACAGCAAAAGATGGACTTTCCCATGCTGCTCAGTAGTCGCTTTAACTCGTCGACTTTGGGGTCGTCGGGGGATGCGCCGAGCATCAGCGTCAGACTCGCTTTGGCGGCCCCTAAGGAACCTCCTGATACGGGGGCATCGTAGAAGCGCGCAGAGGGGAATTTGGTGGTGATTTCGGTTCGGACGTGGTTTGATGTTTGGACATCGATTGTTGATAGATCGATGAGCATCTTGCCGTCGAGGTTTGCGGCGATTAGTCCTTCATTGGGATCTAAGTAGGCTTGTCGAACATGTTTTCCTTCGGGTACCATGGTGAATATCACATTCTAAAAATCAACAACAGCACGGGAATTTGTCAGTTGTGAAGGATTATTTATGGACACCATAGAGATGGGAATTTGAAGGCGGTACACACGCACTGTTCAGCCACTTGCCTACTGGACTTGCATATGGATAGATGCTCGCTATTCGCATCTGCTTGAAAACGGCTCAGAGTGTCGTCGGATATATCGAAAATCGACATGCTCGAACGAGCGGGAAGTTTGGATAGTAGATTTTGAGCCATGGGATATCCCATGACCCCGAGGCCAATGAAGCCAACGTTGGTGGATGTGTCAGACATGATGTTGAAAAGGAGTTGGTTGTAGAGATGGTATTGCCATTCTGTGCTAGGTAGTTATGGATGAATACAACTAATGCAACCCCTTTTACCATTTACTATAGCAGTATGCTCGTGATATTTCTCCCCACATGTCCTTGGCTTTCTTCCCCACATCAAGTTTCCATACAATACTGGAGGTCTTGGCATATCTTTCGGCGTCATTACGGCCCACGCAACGTCGTGGAATATCGAGAAACGCCAATTTTCCCCCCGATTCAGGGGCAATTCCTCCACCCAGACTTACGATGTGTATAAGTCCGCAGTGGGGTTACCAGCAGGAGTGGCGAATGGAGAGTCCGGTCCGCATGAAGGCATTGTATGCAGCCAGCGTCAACGGATGAGGCCAAGGGACGGAGTGGTGACAGTACAGAGAAAAGAGAGATGTTGATGTTGTATAGGGGCTCGACGTCTGCTGCTATATCTTGTTCACTCGGTACGATCACAAGGAGAAGACTTCACTTAAAACTGATAATACCATGGATCGACTCCCTGTGGACGGCCCGGGGCAAAAGTACGTCCAAATCGCCTTCTTTCCAGGAGGATTCATCACGCTCCCTGAGAAGACCTTCGTTCATCCTTGTGATGAATCAGTCCAGCAGACTGTGCCGAGCATGGCATTTCTCATCTCGCACCCAGGCCTGTCGACGCAAGACAAGCCCCTCAAGATGCTGTTCGATTTGGGCCTGCGCTCCAAAGAAGTCAGCTATTCGGAAATGCAGCAGAAGCACCTACAAAATCGAGTGCCATATTCACTCGGACCCAGCATTGCCGATCAGCTGATGCAGGGAGGTGTAGACCCATTGCATGACATCCAAGCCATCATTCTGAGCCATGTTCATTACGATCATCATGGCGATCCAGACGACTTCCCCGATTCTCCATTCATTGTCGGCCATGGGAGCTGCGATGTACTCAAGAACGGTCTCGGAGCCATGGCAAGTCACCAGCACTTCCAACCAGATCTGTTGCAAAAGGTGCAGGCATACGAACTGCCCAGCAGTGCTAGCACCGAGCGATTCCATTTGAAGTTGAATAATACCACCGTCCTCTACACTCAATGGAAACCCGTAGGCCCCTTTTCTGCTGCTGTTGATCTGCTGGGCGATGGAAGTATCTACATAGTCGACAGCCCTGGCCATCTCCCCGGCCATCTCAATCTACTATGCCGAGTGGCACCGCAGAAGTGGGTATATCTGGGAGGCGATGCCTGTCATGATGTACGACTTCTCACAGGAGAAAAGTCCATGGCGACCTGGAAAGATGCGAATGGTGCGTGTACCTGCATACATCTAGACAAAAAGGAAGCGGAGAGTACGTTGAAGAGGATCTCTGCGTTGATGACAGACCTTGGGCCAGACATTCAGGTCATTGTGGCACACGACTGGAAATGGTATAGCCAGCATCGAGAACAGATATTTCCGAAAACGATCGATTTCTAAACCCAAGAATGCTGCTGTACTATAGGAGTCTAGCCAAACGACTTTTGCCTCTGTACAGTGTCTTCGCACCTGGATGCTTGAGTAGTGTGTCGTTCGGCGGATGGTACTCTCCGAATGGGATTCAACAACGACCATTTGCCTCAGGTATTCTTTCAGCCGCTCCCCTGCTCCCCTTTCACCTCCAAGATTACTCGCTCTGCAATCTTGAACCCTTCCAGACCTGCGGGCATTCCACAGTAGATGGCCACCTGCAGCAGGACCTCCCTGATCTCGACTTCGGATGCTCCATTCCTCAGCGCCCCTCGAACGTGCACAGCCAATTCTGGTCCACGATTCAGAGCGCAGAGCATGGCAATATTCAGGAGCGATCTCGTCTTTCGCTCGATGCCTGTTCTCTGCCAAACTGAGCCCCAGCATGCTTCCGTCACCAGTTCCTGCATAGGTCGAGCAAATTCCGAGGAACCGTTCAGGAGGGACTTGTCGACGTATTCTTTTCCAGCAACCTCATAGCGCGTTTTTAGCCCTGCATTGAATAGTGTTTCGTGGGCAGCCTTGAGTTGGAGATCCTCGACATGTTCCATTGTGAAGGTTTGAGACCAGAAGGCGGTAGTTGAGACTCTCAGCAAGATGTTCCCAGTGGTATAGCGATCAGGGGCACCTGGCGATGGCAAGAAATGACGAATACCGCTTTTGCAATGCTGCTGGTCAAGTGAATGAGGACAACGAGAGCATTTGAGGGCGGCATCTGCTTACTGCCCTCCTGTGGACCTGTTGACCCCACATGGCCTCAGGATAGGAGTATGTGCATGTGGGGTCATATTTTTTGGATCAGTTGCTTGTCTGTGCTATATGGAGCATTGAGCTTGTCAAATCAGCGTGGAAAGTATCGCACCGAGTAGGCACTCTTCTGATTATCCTCAGACAATGTCCATCACTATGCTCTTCCCGGCTTTGTCAGCCGTGCAAGTCTTCACTTGGTCGGCCGTGGGGCTGTTGCTTACATGTCTTGGCATCTTCTTTGTCACGACTCCGAATGTGCTCAAGGTAATAATACCATATTCATCGTTGCCAAAGAACCGATCAGATGGCTCATCTTCTCCGCACAGGACTCACGACGAAGATTTCTTCCCCCAGGTCCAAAGGGGCTCCCCCTTATTGGCAATCTTCTCGACCTCGCCGACTCCGAGCTGGTTCGGGACAAGGTCAGAGCGTGGGCTCAGGAGTATCCCGACATCTTTTACACGAAGATTGGAGGCGCCGACTATGTCTGGCTGTCTTCTCCCAAAGCTGTCAAGGATCTGATGGACAAGAGGTCCTCCATTTACTCATCGCGGCCGCCTCTCCCTTTTGCGCAGGATGTGGCGAGTGCAGGCCGTCGGCAGCTCTTCATGCCATACAGTCAGCAGTGGCGATCTCTTCGTAAGCTCTCTCATGCTCTGCTTAACAGTAATGCAGCCTCCAAATACCAGCCTGTGCAAGACTATGAATCTAAGCAATTGCTGGCCGAGTTCTTGGAGTCTCCGGAGTCGTTCTACCAACACAATAGACGCTACTCGGCTTCTGTTATCATGCTGGTCACATATGGCTACCGTCTAGAATCGTGGAAGCACCCGTTGATGAAGAAGATTTACACCGTCTTGGACAACTTGACCGAAATGACAGCTCCAGGGGCGCACACAGTCGATAGCTTTCCATCATTGGCAGCCTTGCCCGAATGGTTTCTGGGCAACTGGCGGAGTCATGCACAGCGTGTGTTCGATCATGATAGTAAAGTGTACCTGGATTTATGGAACAATCTCAAGAAAGAGGTCGATGAGGGTACAGCCGTGGACTCTTTCAGCAAAGACTTCTACCTCAGCAACCCAGGATCTCAGGGGATTGATGATCTACTTGCTGCCTACACTTGTGGAGGTCTGGTCGAGGCTGGCTCCGAGACTACTTCCACCACACTCAACAACTTCATGCTAGCCATGGTCTGTAATCCTGAAGCGCTTGGCAAAGCGCAGGCTGAAATCGATAGAGTCGTGGGACCGCACAGGCTACCGAGCTTTGAGGATGAGGCTCACTTACCCTATGTCCGAGCGTTGGTGAAAGAGGTTCTGCGATGGCGGCCAGTGAACAAGTTTGGCATGTTTCATGCAACGTCGGAGGATGACTGGTATGAAGGATACTTCATCCCGAAGGGAACTGTCGCAGTACTCAATTGGTGGTACGTATATGATCATTGCGAGTCACCTATATTTCTCTCCCTAACTGACAATATCAGGGCAATTCACCGGGATTCTAACATCCACCCTGATCCAGACAACTTTGCCCCTGAGAGATACCTGGACAAGCCTCTCTCGGCCGCTGAATACATCAATGTGAAGGATGCTTACGACCGTGACCACTTCACTTATGGAGCAGGACGGAGAGTGTGCCCAGGAGTGCATGTAGCCGAGAGATCGCTCTACATCAATATCGCGCGTGTGCTTTGGGGATTTGATATCAGAAAGAAGAAAGATGCAGACGGAGCAATCATCGAGCCTGATATGGCCATGGTTCGTGGTTTTCTAAGCGTGCCAAAAGCTTTCGAATGCGAGATTGTTCCCCGTACACCAACACACGCCACGAAGATCAAGGAGGAATTCGCAGAGGCTCAGAAGGGGGACTTCTTGTTCCAGGCTCACTAAGTAGTCGGTAGCTCGTGAAGAATTCAGTTATTACAAGTTGTCAAGACACACTAGGTAACATGTATTCACTCGATAACTTCTCCATCAGTGGTTGAATACGGGACAATTTGAACTACGACGTGATATTTACTCATCGAGATATCTCATCATCGAACGACTCAAACTCTGTCAATCAATCCTCGTCAACTCGTCCAAGCACACTGCTGTACGCTCCCCCTATCCTGATCCGTGAATCATCCCATGCACACCCACCTTCACTCGACCCAAGTAAAACCCATCAGCCCGCGCTTGAGCCCACTCATCTCGCGTCACCTGTTCTCTCTGAGCATCTCTCGGGATGAATCGTGCCTTGAATGGCCGTGGCAAGGTATTGGAACCAAGCTCGTAGGCCTCATCCGAAGTGTCTACCGGTTGAATTTGCCCATCCGGTCCAATAGCAGGTTCAATCTTGAAGGCCCATAGGAGCTTCGCAAGGGTGATGAATAGACTGTTTTCCGCCAGATGCATACCAGGACACACGCGGCGACCTGCACCAAAATTAAAGTGATCGCGAGCATAAGGGTCAGGGTGAGCTACGTATGCTCCAGCTTTCAATGGATGGTCCAGATACCTCTCTGGTTTGTAGCTTCTGGGATCCGGGTATCTCGTTGGGTCCAAGTGAATAGCGTACTGATGCAGTGAGACGACGCTGTTTTTCGGAATGAAATAGTCCTTGTACACGATGTCTGCGCTGGTGTAGTGCGGAGCCCCAATGCTGGTCACGGCACGAATTCGCAAAATCTCCTTGACCATGGCTCGGATGTAGGGCAAGTCTGGTTCGTGCTCGAATGTGGGCGACGATGAGGTTCCGACGACTTTGTCCAGCTCGGCGTGGGCGCGAGCTTGTACTGCTGGGTCGGCGGATAGATAGAGAATGAGAGAATTCAGTGCAGCTGAAGTGGTTTCTGAGCCTGCTTCGATCATGGTTCCGGCGACAAAGGCAGCTTGCATCTCGCTGATATCTTGACGTTGATAATCAGTCTCGATGAATTGTTTGACGAAGCATTCTGGTGCAGTCTTCTGGTAGATTTGCGCTTGGAGTCCGCTCCAGTACTTCATCCAGATGCTCGACTGTCGCTTTTGATACCGTAGGGCACGCTTCCTCCACCATTGGAGAAACACGGGCAGCCGGCCAAGGGGAGGAATCATGTCTGCGAGAAAGGCTCCAGGGGCGGTACTTTCTGAGAATTCCTTCATCAGTCCATAGATTTCTCGTATCTCCTCGCAGTCCTGAGAAAAGAAGGAAAAAAAAATCAGCATTCATTCAGGGGGAAATAAAGCTCGAGCATCTGATGGAAGATAATTACCCATTTTGGCACTCTCAACCCATATGTCGATGTCAAAACGACGGACGACGAGTAGCGTCGGACGTGCATGTAGAAATCCTCCTGATTTTGGTTGTCCGTCAAGATGTCATAGACCAACTGTTTCGCCTCGAACAGCTGCGAGGGCAAGAAAGTGTGTGATGCTTTCGGGGTGAGTAGTTTGTGCACAATGGTTCGAAGTTTGCGCCATGTCGGAGTATAGTCCATCAGGAGGAATCTCATGCCATTGCTAATAAGATCACTTGCAACAGGCATTGGCATTCGACCTGAAGTCACTGAGGAGTGTTTATCCAAAACTTCCTTGACTGCATCTGGAGTATTCAAATAAATCCAGTTTTCCCAGCCGATTTGGACCTGCATGATCTCGCCATACTGCTCTGTCCATTTGAGCAATTGCTGTTGAGGTCTCGCGCTCAGCTGATGAGTATTGCCAACTAAGGGGCGGGAATACCAGAGTTAGCCGTTTTGCAAACAAGAATGTCTCTCGCTATTTGACTTACTCAAAGGTAAACCTTTAGGCCCTGGGACTCGTCGAAGACCTTTTGGTACAGATCTTCTACCATATAGCCAGTAGATCAAAACACCAACGAGAACGCCCAGATATAGGAGGTTGGGGACCCTCAAGAGCTGCTGCTGGACGGTTGCCATTGTCACTACTGGGACGATTGAACTTGGAGTGTGACGAGCAGAATCAATTTTTAAGGTTGCATATAGCATGACATTGGAAATGACTCCTTTTTGGTTGGCTATAGTACATAGAGAGTGTGTACCTATGTGGAGAGGAGGAAATGTCACAATTACTCCACGTACTCCGACCATCCTCTTTTACTATACCCCACACGCCCCGAATGCACGCACATATCTGTGTCTGGAGTCGTAGTACATTCGTTGCGAGTAGCAGAAAGGGGAAATCAATATCACTTCCACGAAAAGGCTAGAGGCATTACATTCCGATATCTTGACAAGATTTACAGTCTGACATTCCGATACTTTGACAAGATTTACAGTCTTACATAACTAGGGGTAGGACAATCATCACTCATATCCGCGAATGCTGTCCAGTGTCTCCACTTCTTCTCCCGCGAATCTGCCTCGTCTGCGATTGCAATAGCCAAGTCCGCCGCCGAGATGCCATGGAGACGGCCATCGAGATTGGTCGAGTCGTTCGGATCCCCTTTAATGGGCAACACGTCGAATTGCACTTGATATTGGCCAGTTCTTCTCCCAGGACGGTAGAGCGCAGAGGGAGACACAAACGTCCAGGGAAAGGATTCGTTCCCGTCAAAGAACATGAATGTGGTGCGGCATGCAGTGACAAACTCCAGCGCTCGATCGTTTGCCGCCACATAAGCCTCATACTCATCGATGACTCTCTGGGTCTCAGCGTTGGCAGTGCCAGCAGCCTCCGCCATCCGAGCGTTACGATAGGCACGAAGCCCTGAACCCATTGGGCCCAGGCGATCCTCCATATACGAAGTATGAGCTTCACTGTCTGCGATGCCGCGTCGGTAGGATAGCCACCACCGTTTGTCCTCCAAGACACTTCGATGGTCGCCCCCTGGCATATAGAGGCTGCAGCAGCCCCCGACCATAATGAAATAGCCCACGCTTGCAAGTCTCGCGGCTAGCACGATTTTTCGAGTGACTTCGACGAATGGCACTGGCAGCATGTCAGTCGTGCCATATTGGATGCAGTCTGGGTATCTCAATGCAGGGGATGATTACTATACTTCAAGGCCTCGTGGCCAGCACTATGAGGTCCATATTCATTGACCACCACATCCAACCCTTTCATCACTGCAGCCAGTTCTGGGATGCTCGCTGCAGTAATGTCCAGAGGGATTGGATGGTATGATGAGTGAGTGCCGAGCTTTTCTGGATTTCGAGAGATGCCATAGACTTCGTGGCCTCGATTGATGAGCTCGAGGCAGAGATATGAGCCACCGAACCCGGCTGGTCCGATCACCCCGACCCTTAACGGCGTGGTGGAAGAAGTCATGGTGCACTGGTCAATGATAGTAGCTGGCTGTAACCGTGGTCCCAAGTGGCAAATATCCAATAATCGGAATACAGCACTTCCACTTCCTGCAGCAGGGCTCTTGTAAGCGCTGCCAAGGGGCGTGAGGCATTAAACTTCACCTCCTCCACGCCCCCTGGATTCCCCACATGCTTGGCTCCCTTCGTCCATCTGACCCCACAATCATGGCACAATGCTGACACCTTCGTGACTGTACCATAAAGTGAGACGAAGGTGGCACGAGAAGAGAATAACATTGAAGTTGGAATCGCCAACAGCAATATCTCCCCTGACATCTTCCACAACACATTGATATCGCCAATCACAATGCCAGCCGCTGCAGCAGACTCTCGTGAGTATCAGGACATCTTCCACTGGGCAGAGACCCAAAAGGACGGTCAGATACCATCGTTTGGCACCAGAAAGAACGATCCTTATGAGGTTGGGGGCCCCGATCAGAGCACACTCGAAGCGCAGATGAACTAACGAACGAATGTACAGTACCAATCGGGCTTCAACAACAGTTTTGCATCAGAAGCCGTTCCGGGGACTTTGCCACAAGGCCAAAACAGTCCTCGAAATGTACGATTTGGACTCTATGCCGAGCAAATGACTGCTTCGGCTTTTACTGCATCACGAGCATTGAACAAAAAGGCATGGCTGTACCGTGCCCGGCCGTCAGTAGCTCATCAAGGATTTGTAAGTATCGTGAGTATTCACCGCTGCATTCACAAAGCTGAACGTTTTGTTCTGTAGACGGATCTTCCAGACAACCCAGACATGGAATCCAACTTTCTTCCCATCAATCCACGAGTCCATGTTTCTCCCACGCAGCTCGCATGGCTGCCATTTGAAATCCCGACCGGTACCGACGTCAACTTTGTCGGCGGTCTGAAGACACTGGCTGGCTCTGGAGATCCAACCCTTCGAGAAGGCATTGCAACTCATATTTATGCCGCCAACACCAGCATGAACAGGGAGGCCTTTGTGAACTCGGATGGGGACTTTCTGATCTGCCCTCAGCAAGGAGTCCTCGATATACAGACTGAATTCGGAAAGCTCTTTGTCCAACCGGGCGAAATTGTTGTCGTTCAGCGTGGGCAGAAATTCAAGGTCAACCTGCCAGATGGTCCCTCGCGCGGTTACATTCTGGAGATCTGGGGATCCAACTTTGAACTTCCAGAACTGGGGCCTTTGGGTGCAAATGGACTGGCTAATGCCCGAGACTTCCTCCATCCTGTCGCTCATTATGATATCGAGCAAGCCGACTGGGGCATCATCTACAAATTGGGCGGCAAGTTGTTTCGCTGCTCGCAGCAACACAGCCCGTTCGACGTCGTGGCATGGCATGGCAATTATGTCCCTTACAAATACGATTTGACCAAATTCGTCAATGTCGGATCCATTTCCGTCGACCATATCGACCCCAGCATCTTCTGCGTGCTGACTGCGCGCTCTCGCGACCCGGCTGCTCCCCTTGCCGACTTTTTGATCTTTTCTCCTCGCTGGGACGTAGCATCGCACACCTACCGTCCGCCATACTTCCATCGAAATGTCGCCTCGGAGTTCATGGGCCTGCTATATGGAGAGTATGGAGGTCGCTCAGACGAGTTCCAGCCCGGCGGAGCCTCATACGAGTGTGGTATGGTTCCACATGGTGTCGCCTACGAGCAGTTCAAAGCCGCCACCGAGAACGAGCCTCCGGTCATGCAGATCTCCAAGGGCACCGTTGCGTTCATGTTTGAAAGCTCGCGTCCCTTCACTATTACCGATTACGCCTGGAACAGCGACAAGAAGCACGTCCACGCGGCGGACATGTGGGACAATTTGATCGATAACTTTTCTCAGCACCAGGAGGAAGTCCAGAAGTTGCTCGCTATACGGGGCTCAAAGCAGTCAGTATCCACCAATGGTAGTACGTAGAATTACCTCTTTGGAGGCGGCGAAAGATGATATTCACTTGCGTGGAGATCTCTAGAGCAGAATAATGGTGAGAGGGGCGTCAGGGGTGGGGTCAGTCAGGGGAAAAATTGATTTTGCCGGGGTGGGGTATAATTAGACCTATTTCATCGTCAATAACTCTTTTGTTAGTCAGCTATATCTTACTGCAAATGAAAGTATATCTAGATCCATTTGGTGCATCATCATCGGAGCGAGTGACTATACCAGTACCACCTACAATCAACCATGACCATCGAGACAAAAATCACTGACAGACTACGGCCAGCCATCATTAATCACAACAACTACATCCTACACCAATACCGTGGTCTGCAATATGGCAGAGTCCCTCGACGATTCTCTGAGCCCGAAGCGGTTGCTATAGACAATCTTCTTTTGCAACCCGATTGCACACAGTTTGGGTATATCAACTTCTTGTTCATTCACCCAGCAATATCGGCGACTGACGAGAAACTCGCAGGCCCATCTGTCCTCAGGTTTCTGTTGATTTTCACCACTTGTTACGCATTCCAGAATCACTCAGGGGCGCAGAACAACGACCCAGATTTGATGAGTTTGCATGTCTCAACTTAGACATCACAGTACCAGAGACAGCTGCGGAGAAACTACCAGTCTTCATCTGGATCCATGGTCAGCTATTGTGTCCAAACTGACGACCATGAAGACGAGTAGGATCTGAAGACTCAAGCAGGTGGTTCGCAAGCGATGACCTTCATGCCAGCATCATCTCCGTGTGCAGACATGGTTCCACTCGTTGCTACGGCTGTGGTACAACAACGGCCCATGATTACTGTCTTTGTCAATTATCGGCTCAATATCTTCGCTTTTGGCGACAGGACAAGCAGTAAGAATCTGGCACTCAAAGACCAGAGACTTGCCATTGAATGGGTCTTTAAGCACATCGCCCATTTTGGAGGAGATGCTGTGAGTTTCAGCCTCCCATTGCCTCCACAACAGTTAGTATCCCCCTTTGAGACTGATATCATCTTAGGACAACATTACGCTTGCCGGTGAGAGCGCTGGTGCGGTGTACGTCCATGCCCATATGGTGACCCGAGCTCCCATCAAGCGAGCGATTCTGCAGTCGGGATCACTGTTTCTTTCGCCACCGCAGCCAGAAGCGCGTCGAATGATCCTCTGCGACAAACTTGAGACACGTCTACGCCAGACGGGCTACTCTTCCCTGGTTGAAGCTACTGTCCCTGCGCTACTCGAGTCTATGGAAGAAGCCAACGTAGGGTCATTTTGGCTGGAAATGACCGACGAGCTGCGAGACTGGGAGACAGCGCTGGGCGACGTGGAGCACCTCCTTATTGGCGATGTCGAGTATGAGTCGGCCATCTGGCGAAATGGAATCGAGCCTTTGGCAGCGTCTGACATTGTCCAGTGCTTCGACTTGGCCAATACAGATGCCGTACGACTGAAAGAAGCATATAATATCGTGGAAGATCGGCCGACAGCCTGCAAGATTGGGGCACTGGACTTTATCAATGATACGAGGTTCGCTCTGCCTGTCTTGGAGATACGGGATGCATTCCTACAAGCTGGTCGATGTGCATACACCTATACGTTCGATCAGGCCAATCCATGGCAACAGTCGAGCAGAGCCCATCATGCCGTTGACCTCCTGATGCTGTTTGGAGATCTCGACTTCACTCATAATCCCGGAGCGGCTGCAGTCTGCAGAGAAGTGCGGAACAGATGGGCTAGATTCTGCCATGGAGAGGAGCCTTGGCCGTTGCGTGACACGTATGCTTTTGGTCCGTACGGAACATGTAGCGTCATCTCTCCAGACGAGTACGCGAGCCGTCGTCGGCTACAAGCGTGTCGTTTATTGAAAGAAATCGGATCTGACATGTACAATCTCATTTATGCTAAACTAGCCGCAGGGAGGATTAGTTTGCTGAACTAAAGCCCGTAGAGCGGGAATTGATCCATGTTGCACACACATACGCGCAGATCTTCAATCCTTTCTGTCCAGCAAGATATCCTGCCCCTTTCGAACCAGACTGCAGAGTTCCTCACCCATCCATTGTGGCTCAGTTTCATGCAATGTATCCTCGAGCTCGATAAATTTGCCTCCGGCAATGAAGAAACACTTTCCATTCACAGAAGGCCGTACGACGGGGAGCAGTAGAGAGAGACCGACGTCCGCGGGCGTGTTCAGGGGGAGCTTCCATCTCTGCTCCCACCCTGGGATAGCTTTAATCATCGGTGTCACTGGAATAGCAGGAAAATCAGTATCTCATGCAACATCCATTACACATGAGCGTCAGTTGCTATTGCAAGACTGTCATTGTTGTTGTCTTACCGGTCATCCAGGGGGCAATAGTGTTGACCGTGAGGTTCTGCATCTTTTCCGTCTCATAATACAAAGAACGCATCAAGCTGACAACACCCGCCTTGGCGACACAGTAGACATGCAGTGGAGGCGCAGGGAAGAATGAACCAGCAGAGGCCGTCATCACCAGCTGGCAAGGGGTTTCGGGCCATTTCTTGAAATAATGAATTGCACATCTGGTCACGTAGAGTTGACCGAGCAAATTGACATCGAGAGATTTCAGGTTTGGTGGTAGCAATTTTCCACTCTGCTCATCGATGTCTTCGTCGAGAAGGCTTTCATTGCCATTAATGCCGGCATTGGACAGTACACTGTGGATTGTTCCAAAGCGGAGAAAGGCCTCCTGGAACAGTTCCAGGACATCGTCCCACTTGGAGACATCGCATTTTTTGAAAATCGCTCGCCCTTCGTATGGCTCGACGAGTTTGGATGCGCCCTCCTCGTTCCAGTCTCCAACTACAATGTTGGCTCCATTCTCTTTGACACGGAAATTGTCAGTCTCCTTGGACAAACATGGTCAAATCAGCCAACATGAACCTCACACGCACCAATGGCCAACTTGAACGCGGCTTCGCCAATGCCTGTTGCTGCTCCCGTAATCAGGATAGTCTTTCCATGGAGAGCCTTGAGTTCGGCTGGGTCAATCGAGTAAGTTGTCATGGTGAGTGTCCGGGGTGCATGTATATCGAGGAGACGTCGATCATTCAGGAGGAGAGTATATATGTTATAGAGAGACTACAAATCTCCACATGCTAACCCCACTATGCATTCTGTCTTGGTTCTGTCTTGGATACGGGGGGATCTGGAGTTACAAGTGCCATAAAAATTACAGTACATTGACTAAGGCTGCTTCTGCTGTATCACACGCTGCAGCCACTCGCCTTTCTTACTTTCATTCAAAAGTGATAGAAGCACGGGGTCCTCCTGAGTAATCATCCAATGTTCATCATGTGCAAGACAGATGTGCGCTCCTAGCTCTGCCTGTGCCCTCCTGATGAGACTAATCGTCTTTTCGGCCGCCATCAAGTCCTTGTGCAGATACGCCTCTACTTCGCCGTTCTGCTGTTGAAAAGTCGCGATTTTCGATTCGCCACAGAGCAGTTTGCTGTCAATACTCTCAGCACAAATTCCATCACCATCACAATCTCTCGCCAATCAAGGAGATATAAAGGAGACATAAAGGAGACATAAAGGAGACTTACTGGGAATGGCAGCAGTCCCCGCCCAGCAATACCCATTCTCTCGAAGCATCCAGTCTCACAAGTGCACACAAATTGCCGGGCATATGTCCTGGCGCGTCGACGATCAGAAAACTTCCATCTCCAAAGAAATCCATCACCTTATCGAATGGGCCGAATCGCTTCCATGGACCACTGAACTCCTCCCAGCGCTCTGTCGCATATCCCTTTCCATCGAAATAACGACCATCCCATTCGACATCATCACATGCTTTGCCATCAACCATGTGGCCCGGCGAGCAGAAGTCCTTTGTGCCTGGGCCAAAGAAGGCAGTCGCTTGTGGGAATTCGGGACTGATTGCTCGACAATGATCCCAGTGTGCATGACTACATATATCCATGGATATAGGTTAGTATGACTATAGACTGCCAATTCGAAGTGCATGGTCACTCGATACCTGAACACGACCGAATCGACTTGATCTGCATGGACTCCCAACTCCAGCAACTGGTCCACGATAGGGATAGATGGCCCTACCGGCCCTGCATAAGGCACTAGTCTCTGCAACACCCAAGGCGTGTAGAGGCTATGGTCCTGCAGAGTGAAGTGTATCAGTACCTTAGCTGAAATGATGTCGAATAGGGGTGAGACGGTAAAGTAGACGATCCATCAACACACGTTACTACATCCCAGATCCCAGAGAACATGTCGACCAGACGGGAGATGCCTGATCAGGAAGCACCAATTGTACATGCGAAAAGGAGTGGGACCGGCATCAGCATGGAGAAGGTTCAAAGTAGCAGTCGAAAAGCTGCCTCCGTCAAGCAGAGAGAGCTGCACCACGCCCCCATCTCGCTCAATGTCCAAGTCGAAATCTGCCATTGTTGCGGCGGAGGAGGAGGAGGAGGAGGCAAAAGGGTGAGTGACAGGGCTCGGACTGCCAAGGGGCCAGGACTCCGCACGGTTGGTGTCGAAGTAAGTGAAGTATAATAATATCGTTGTGCACCCAATGTGTAATGTGCAATCATTCTCTGCTTCCATTCCATTACAGCCGGTTATGATGGAAGACAACGTTGGATTCATCGGTAAGCAATTCCCCCTCCTCTGGAACCCATTTCCCCTCATCCTATCCCCACCATCTTCCCCACCACCATCACCACAATTACCACTACCACAACTTACCCCATATGTCTTGCCCCACACTACAAGACCTCTCTCCACCTGATGATTGTTCACTCCGCTAATACTCCATAGGCCTTGGCGCTATGGGGTATGCAATGGCAAAGAATGTTCGAAAGCACATGGATGTCAAGGCGACCCTGTACGTGAACGATGTCAACGTGGATGCATGCCATCGGTTCAAGGAAGAATTCTCCCCCCTGGGTCCCGTCGAGATTGTTCAGTCGGCCAAGGACATCGCAGACAATGCCTTGACGATTCTGTCTATTGTGCCCACTGGAAAACATGTCAAGGATGTGTATTTGAACGAATCTACGGGCATTGCTGCTGCTCGCCGTATTGATCCAGCGCGTGACTCGCGTCGGTTGTACTTGGAATGCAGCACTATTGATATACTCACTGCCCAGGAGGTGGGAAGTGAGCTGGAGAGATGCGGCTTGGGCACGTACATTGACTGTCCCGTGTCCGGAGGCGTGCCAGCTGCAGATCAGGGACAGTTGTCTCTGCTCCTGGGTCGATCACCGCCGACTCCAGGAGATGTTGAACACGAACAACTCGAGCGACGCATTCAAAAGGTGTGCGAATACATCGGGGCAGTCGACAAAATCTTCTACTGTGGCCAACGCGGCAATGGTCTTGCAGCCAAGATCTGTAACAACTACCTCTCCTGTACGATATTACTGGCCAACTGCGAGGCCATGGCGACAGGTATGAAACTGGGCCTGGACAAGCATGTCCTCCACAAGATCATACATAGCAGTACAGGGCAGAACTTCATGGCCGATCATGTTTGTCCCATTCCGGGAGTGGTGCCTCACGCGCCCAGCAGCAACGACTATCGGCTGGGGTTCAAGGCACAAATGCTGGTGAAAGATGTCGGATTGGGCGTTGATGCTGCGAAGAGTGTCAATATCAAGCCCAGTATCGGTGAGGCTGCGATGCAAGTGTATGACAAGGTCGCCATAGACGAGGGCTGTATCGTGAGTGGCGTCACTCTTTTTTTTCTTTTTCTTTTTTTTTGCTTCCGGCTCCACGCTGTGCTGACGCTCGAGTAACAGGACAAGGACGCGTCAATAGTCTACAAGTTCATCGGCGGTCCGACGGAGTAAGGAGATTTTGTTGTCTCGTGTCAGCTCATCGTGCGAATCGATATTCTATACGAAAAGAAAGCTTCCTTACGCTCTTGTATGAGGGTATATGGAACTGTATACGCAGCTCTGAGCGACTAGCTAGAGAGAAAGTCTGTGAATACCTTCATCAAATCATCCAAGGTCAGGTTTATGTCTTTTCGTTGGGACAAGATGAAGATGAAGGGGTCCCGTTTGATGGTCTCTGGCGTAGGCGGCTCGCTGGTGAAGGTTCTCTGTCCGTTTGCATAGACTGCCGTGCCATGCTGTCCCTCGTTGAATGCATTCCACGGTGCCTTGCCGTTCACGAAAGCGATGACATCCGTAGCCAGTCGTACTGCATTTGCTCTCTGTCCTTCATCGAGACATGCGTTGTAGTTCTGGAAGAGGAAGGCCGCGTCCAGGATATGGCTTGCATAGCCCTGGAAGTCCCCGGGCCACGGGTTGGGTTCGTTGAAGCAGAACACATAAGACGTGCCCGCAAAGTGCGCAGCAAGCTCAATAGAGGGCGCAAAGAAGCATATGTCGTTTGCGAAGTGCAAAATCGACTTCAATTGTGCATCGTCGTCCAATGAGCACGGTTCGGAAAGCCCATAATGCTCTAACAGCCCTTCCACGACTGAGGCGGGATAATGACCCAAGGTTTTCGCAGCGCTTTTGCGAAAAGCAAGACCTATGTCTTTTGTGCCTTTCGGAGTTATCATATGGGCGAAGATGCTGGACTACAGCTGGATTAGCCGAGAACGTTTGCGTGAGTGACAGATTGTTTCATTGTACTCACATCAAGTTCGGACTGTCCCAGCATGACAGCGTCACACCAGGGACTTTTCGCGAGCTTGCTCGTCAATGTCTGAAAGGTCGATGCGTGTGGCACAATGTCGCCGTCAATCACAGGTGCCATTGGAAGCATTGGAGGGAGCTTCTGCCATAACTCATCGGGAGCAACCCGGAGCAGACCCCCAACAGCGTCGGGTCCGTCTACACCGAGAATACGCATAAAGGCACCACCAATCTCGTCCGCCGATGACATGGGCAGACTTCCTACCAGCGGGGGACACCCACCTAAGAATAGCAGACGCTTGGCCAATGCTTCTTCCGAGAAGAGCAGAAGGCCCGTAGAGACTAGTTGACATCAGCGATGTTGTTGACACGATAGAGACAGGTGGGAATGCAGTCTACCTCCGCCCGCACTCTGGCCACCAACTGTAACGTTCTCCGCATCACCGCCAAATCCGGATATGTACCGCTGAACCCAGTGCAGAGCAGCACGTTGATCTCTGAGCCCGTTGTTGGCCTTGTATCCCTTCTCCCTGAGCTCCGGTGTGGTGAGGAATCCTGGGCAGCCGGTCCTGTAGTTGATGTTCACCGCCACGATGGGAGTGCCCTCTTGCACTGACAGCTTGACGAGGGCGGCAGTATCATACTGAGGCCACCAATTTGCTCCAATTGCAAAGCCGCCTCCGTGGATGAAGACAAACACAGGAAGTTTCTTGGCATGTGGCGAATTCAGCATAGTTTCGGGGATCGTGATGTTGAGGTTCAAGCCATTGAGCTCGCTGGTGCCAGGGTGTGCAGGTTTCGGGAGAGACTGCTGGATATATTCCATTTCCCTGTCCACTGCGGAGGGAGGCCCGATAACCTGTGGCCTGGAGACGTGAGCAATGTGTGTGGTGCCCCGGAGAGAACAGACGTAACTGACCCCAAGTCCAGAGCTTCCAATCCCGTCTTGTCATATTGCACGACTTCTGGCAGCGCGAATCGATCGTTTAGAGTGGCATATTGGATTCCCCAGAATTGTGCCACGCCATCACGCAGCTTCCCGGTGATGCTGCCAATGGCTGGGTGTTCCAAGACGATGCTCGACATGTTTGTAATGGAGGATTGGGGACACGAACGAACAACAGACAACGAACGAGCCGTCCTATACATAGGTATCATGTCATCCCGGTTGATAGATATACCAGCTACCACGATGATTCGTGAGCCGAGGAGGACTGGGCGACTCGACAGCCCAACAATACCCGAACAGAGGAGGTGATTGATCGGATTGACCAATACCCAGCACCCGACACGTGCATCGTCATATCCATGCATAACATATCCTGTATCATGTCAGCGCAGAATTAATTCAACATGCTGGAACGAGTTGCACGTGTGGGGTCGCCATAGTCGGTGGGGTACGGTATTGATCGGGACCCGTGGACGCTGCCGCGGGGTGTATACAAGTGGACGAGCCGGCTCGTTCTTGAGCATTGGCGGGCGGCACTTGATAGATGATTGAGCCGCGCAAATGGCCTTGGTCAGGGACGCAGACGGCCACACTTTTATCGAACACGCAAATGGACAGCGCACACATTACATCTCCGACGACTTCACCGACCCGTGGCAGCCACGGGAAACTGTCTTGATTCAACATGGCTTCTGTCGGACCGCAGCGCACTGGTATCACTGGGTGCCGGCTCTCTCGCGAGCATATCGAGTGATCCGCCGAGACCTGCGTGGTCACGGTCTGTCCAGTTATCCATCATCCATCAGAGGGGCAAGTGAAGGAAGTGGAAAGGGGGAAGGGGGAGGAGGAGGGGCAAGTGGAGGAGGTGGAAAAGGGGCAGAAGGAGGAGGGGCAAGTGAAGGAGGTGGAAAAGGGGAAGGAGGAGGAGGAGGAGGAGGGGGTGAATACGATTATTCTCTGGATTGCTTACTGGAAGAAATCCTCGACCTCTTGAACTGCCTGGGAATCGACAAGGTTCACTTCCTTGGCGAGTCTACTAGTGGCATGCTCGCCGAAGCACTAGCAGCCAAACATCCGGAGCGTCTGCATTCCATTACTGTGTGCTCATCGCCAACACACTTGCCGCCCTCTGCTCTGAATCTGTTCTCCTTCGGACACGATGACTGGCCTACAGCATGCCGCACGCTGGGATCTCGGGGATGGGCCGAAGCACTATCCCGATTGCCAGGCACAGTCGCTTCCGAGGACGAGGATTACGTCTCGTGGTGGACGGAGCAGGTCTCCGTGTCGGACGGTGAGGGCTTGGCGGGCTATGCCAGCTTCTTGTCGACCATGGACGCGAGACCCTTCCTGTCCCAAATCAAAATTCCCATGTTGATTCTTGCTCCGAAACATAGCGCCGTCATGACCAAAGCACAAATGGAAGACGTGGCAAGCCAGGTACCAGGCGCCCACCTCGAGTTGATCGATGCGCCAGGTCATGAGATCTTTGTCAGTGGAGCCTCTCAGTGTCAAGCTGCGGTTTTGAAGTTTTGGACCAGAGTAGGGAGTGAAGCCTCCATTTAATGGCAACATGGCGATTAGCTAGTTATCTTCAAGAGATTACCTAGGAATCTAGAAGAACGAGTCATATTATACTATCTCCTAGGCAAGCCGATCATGTTCATAGATATTGATCGATAAGCTAATAGGATACAATATCCAATCTTTTACTTAGTAAGCTAGTAAGAAAACATAGTATAGACATTGTGTCTTGTATATTTTGAGATTATATTTTATATTATATCCGTAACAATTCTGTAGATAAGGAGTAATTACGAAAGGCCGGCCTATAACCTATTGCAGAGGAGCTCTATATACTAAAATAACTTGAATTTATGATTCTACTTTGTGAAGAGCTAATATGAACAACTCTAGAGACTGGTAGTTCTTTAGAAATTTTGTCTCTATTCTTGTTTAAAGGGGCAAGATTTCTAAGGTATATTTTGTAACCTGAACTCTCAAGTTACAATAAAGTAAAGAAAGTGTCTTGACTCTAGAGACATTGTTCTTAGCTATAAGTTAGGATTGATATATTCTTATCTAACTAATACATAGATACAGAATAGCAGAAGCTTTATAGTAGTGTGTCTTATAGAAAAAGAATGCCTTTTAATACTTGTTTCTACTCTAGTAAGAGGTTTATATAAATCGAGCTTATTATAACTACCCTACAAGCTCTAAGTTCTCTTTGGAGAACTAGACCTTAATACGTACTACACTAGGCATTCTATGTATCTAGAAATCTTATATTCATGTCTAGAGGAGAGTCTAGAGGACCTTAGTCACTCTTTTTATAGGTTGCTAGAAAATTCTATATATACATACTGCCTTTATAAACATATGTAAAAGCCTATACATCTATAAAACTATTGACTAAAGAGGCAGAACCTACTAGAGCTAGGAGTAAGATTGTTTATAATAGGATCTTATACTTATAGAAAGTGTTAAACTTCAGCAGAAGATGTTAATTCAGATCTATAGACTTATATAAAGCTAGCCAAATTTAGTAATAAACTAATATTTATACAACCTAGTAACGTAACCTTAGTCTAATATTTACGTAACTCTAAACTGATACATTTGAAATTTCTTGATTATCAAAGCTTTATTCTAGTCGTCTAAAGTATTCTATCTTTATTATAGCCTTTAGTACCTATCTGCCTATCTACTTTATCTATCTAAAATAGTACTACTATGCTAGTCGTATCTATTTTATACCCTTTAAACCCTAATATGCTATATAAATAGTCAACAAACCGTATGCTTGATCTACGCTATTGCTACTACTATCGCTACTAGTAAGACCTTGCCTAAAAGAGAGTTAGGATAAAGGCTAGAAATGTAGTAAACTACGATAAGGAAGATAGCGGATCTAAGAAGAAAGTACAAAAGCTATATAGGCTAGTCTGTCTAACTAGAGATAGACGAATAGATAGAGAGTATATTTATATTATTCGAGGACCTGTTCGAGGTATAGAATAATGACTAGGGCTTCTTAGAGGTCTATATCTTAGACTACACTAAACGCTGAATATTAAGTTCAAGTTACTAAAAAGCAGATTAGGAATAAATACGACTCGCTCTGGCTTGTATAGAAAGAATATATAGATAGTTAGTAAGGTTAGCTACCTTAGAATAAGAAAGATATCATAAATGTATACTTTAAATAAAATCTCAATAGTATATGCTTTTATAATAACCCTCCTAGAGGTATTATTCGGCAACTAGCTAGCTTCTAGTAGTAAAGAGACTATAGAGGATACTAAGGTAGATACTAGATTAAGCGTATCTGCCAAAGATAATATTGTCTCTAGGGACGAAGATCAAGGGCTTAGTAAGGATACGTAGCTGGCTTCTAATATAGAGATACCTTAGAGCTCTAATTTCTTATCTCTAAGAGCGCGTTCGCTTGTTCCTTATAGCTTCTAGCTAGAAGCTAATACTACTCAAACTCTCGCTCTTAAATATAGGTCGTTATAGCTAAAGCTATAAGCTATAGGTGTTCGCTTATACTCTTATAACTAATTCGGCTTATACGCAGAGTTCTGGACTATACTCTATATAGCGTAGGCCGCCGCCGCCGCTACCGCTACCGCTGCCGTCGCCGCTGCCGTCTCCGCCGGCTCCCGCTTATATACTTAACGACTCTATTACCTACGAGTCTATTAACTACCGTAGCCTCGAAAATCTTAAGCATTACCCCTAGCGACTCTATAATACACGATCTAATCGGCCTATCCTTCTATCTTAAAGTATAGCTTCTAAGAAGAAATTGAACTACCGCTATACCCTAAAGTGAACCTAGGCAGTATTATTTTCCTATGTTGTACGCGCGAATCGTACGATCAAAATAGTCTACTTACTATCTCGTTTAGTTAACGAAAACTTGTAATATATATATATATCTCTCTCTAGTCTAGGTCAAGTAAAGTATAGTTAATTAGAATCTAGCTATTCTCGGTCGTTTATAGGCGTAGACTTAGATACCTATAGTATTCTACGTATATAATCCTATCTACCTAAGATATATACCGTTTAGAGCAATATCCTAACTATATTCTTGCTATTAACATCTTTACTTACCCTCGTCGTAGTTGTTTAGAGTTAAAGTTTGTATAGCCTTAGTAGTATATACCTCCCGCTATATACTTTATAACAGTTGCAGAGTTACTTCTTATTAACTATATACTTAGTATATAAATAAGTATAGTCGTTGGTACATTTCTATTAAAAAACGGTAAGATTTGGATATATACTAGCTAAGTAATTGGTATATATATACATTCTTATATACTTAGCAATAGACCCTAGAATTGTATAATCCGAATATTATACTATATAACGTTACGTCTCCTACGACGGAGCTCTAGCTAGGTTAAGGCTATAAGCTAAATTAGAGACGTAGAATATAGAAACGTAGAATATAGAAACGTAGAATATAGAAACGTAGAATATAGAAACGTAGAATATAGAAACGTAGAATATAGAAACGTAGAATATAGAAACGTAGAATATACGCTATTTATAGTATCTTTGGGGGTTTATACTATACCTTTTCTTTATTAATAATACTAATACTAATACTAGTACTATACCTCCTATAGCTATATAAGTTATCCTAAACTCTACTTATAGTATATTCGTAGTATACTAAAAGGGTACAGTTTCACTACTGCCTCTGCTGTCGTTACTGCCTCTACTATACTTATATCCGCTACCTCTACTACCGTTACTACCTCTACTATACTTTATACTTGTATCCGCTGCCTCTACCTCCGCCGCTACTACTACTACTAAGGCCGTTGCCCTTAAAGAGAGGGTACCTATATACTTGAACGTCGCCTCGAATATAAGATAAGTAATACGAACTCTCTTCGTATAGCCCTATTAATATTAAAGAAAGACTTCTACGAGCGCCTTATAAAGCTCGAAGATAACGACGACGACAACGATAACGACAACGATAACGACAACGACAACGATAGCGACGACGACGATATTAACGACGTTAACGACAATAAGGACGGCTATAATAATAGCAACGCTATCGAAGAAGATATCAAGATAGCCTTTAACGACGAAGACGTTAAGATAGTCGTTAATAACGAAGACGTTAAGATAATACGTTCGTTCTTATAGTAATTCGGACGGTTATTTGGACGGTTATTCGGATAGTTATTCGGATAGTTATTCGGACGGTTATTCGGACGGTTATTCGGCGTTAGCGTTGTTATTAGTGTCGTTATTAGTGTCGTTATTAACGTTATCGTTTAGTAGTATACTATTTAGTATTAATATGTCCTACAGGCTAGCCCGTTAGTAGTACGGAACGTCGGCCAATCTTGCTAACGTAGAGGCCAATCTTCTTTGCCGGAATTTGGTTTATGCCCGCCGCGTATATTGTGTACCGTACCCAAATATACGTAGACGTCGGAATTCTACAAATTCTATATATACGCGACGCGTATATATACATGCTTTAATCCGAGTCGATTAGTACTATATACGTACGAATTTATGCGTAGAACCGATAGCAATTCTCTAGATTCTGATTAGCTATAGCCGACGACGATTAATAGATGTACGACGCGATTAATAAAATAGCCGCAGAGCCGATACTAGAGCCGATCGATAATAATAGCGAATACGAGCAGTATTATACTATACCCGAATAGCTAAGTACTGCTATATCTCCGGCCGCTTTATCTCCGGCCGCTTCTTCTCCGGCCGTCGCTCTTCCGGTTACTAGTTCTTTACGGCTACGTCGACCGAGCCTACGTCTTGTAAAGCGGCTACCTATAGTACTACAGCTCGATCTATACGAAATACCTAATAATAATAATAAGGAAGAGCCCGAGACAGCGTTAAGTACGCTAAGTAGGAGTAGTAGCAGGCCTGCGCGAGCTAAGGTAGAAGCGCGGCGACTAACTGCTATAGATAGCTACTACTCTGCAAGTAGAGAGGTACGTAGTAAGGCCTTATAGTCAGCAGGCTTAGCAAAGCGAAGAGCGCTATTATCGTACGTTAGCAGAATTAAAGAAACTCCTATAGAGGTAACGCGAAATCTAGTATACTAGCGGTATATAGCAAAGGGTTTTGTATATCGTATATATTCGGCGGCGGGGATAGAAGACTAGGTAGGTAAAAGGGGCAGCAATACGTATACGCGGTATCGTTATTCCGGAAAGCAGTGCCTATATTAGTTTATACCTACAACAATAAGTTTATGCCTGTATACTATTTGCTTGCTAAGGGCAAAAACCTCGGGATTTGTTAAGTAGGGGGCGGGTATAAATCACTGTATATCAAAAAGTTATGTATTAGTAATTTTCATATAGTACGATTTTTGATTCTACGACGATTAGCGCTATTTCTGCATTTATAGACACAACTAGGGGTATATCTCTAGCCTCTTATTAGTCAAATCAGAGCTTATCGTTAGTAGTGTCCTTATTATTATTGTCCTCTGTCCGCTACGTAGGCGCTATAAAACTATTATCTTTACTACGCTGTCCGAACAACGC